AGAATATGTTGATATTTCTGATGATTCTTTGGTGCATTCTTTGGAACACGAGGAAATCACATGGGGAAACGTGGAAGAAGGTAAATATATGGAAGATGAGGTGATATTGTTCAGAACATGCCCCGAGAAAAGAATGGAGAAAGCTGCAAAGTACATGAGAATAAAAACACAGGAATTGCTGACAGGGTAGAGAACAGTGGAAGAGTTTTGAAGAAAGGCAAAACTAAGAGGAAACATTTACATGAAAAACTTTCAGTGAGACTTAGTAAAAATTACTAAAATTTGAAGCAACCCCTCAGAGACTGTGAGGGAGAGGGGGGGGGGGTATTCCAGACTTTAGCATAGCTAAGGTAACTGTATGCTTAAAACTCTGTGAGGTGGTTGGTCAGACTTGCAATCAGCAGTGTGAGAGGAAGGCTTGTCTTCTAGACAAAGGTCTAGGGTCAATGACACCGAAGTCTCAAACCCCAGGTCTGGAACTTACATAAACCCCTCAGAAATTTTGGTTGACTAACACTAGAATAGTTAATCAACTGGATTGTGTCACCCAGGATAGCCTCTTAGAAGGAATTAGAAAATGGACTAATTGGGCAACAGAAAGATCTGTATTCAGCTGGGGCAATGTCTTTTTAAAAATAATTTTAATGTGAATGCTTGCAAAGTGTAAATTTGTCCTTTTCCCCAGTAAGAAGGTCAGGCTGTAACTTTTGCCTTTCTTTAGTTGTCCACATCTTGCCAACAGTCCTCTGAGCTTTTCCACATGGGAAAGCCATTTTGAGTCAGTTAATGATTAGCCTGCCTGTGAACTTTAAATTAAAACCAGCAGCCACAATTAATGGAGCCCACAGTATCTTCTGCAGGCTGCTAAGAGCAGTAGTGGGAAGAGTGGTGGCTTGTTGAGCCTGCTAAATAGACATGGCCAGTTGCCAGCTCTCAGAAAGAGGAGATGATGGATGAGAGAAGGGGAAGGAAACAATCTCATACAAACAGGACTCCCTTAAGAGCAGCCAGCACAAGCTGCCAGTGTGCATGGAATGCTTGCATGGGATTTTCCTTCATTTGAAAACAGGCCATTTCAACTGCAGTGAGGTGCTTTCCTTCCTTTGTGGTCTTCTCATCTGGAAGCAGACTTATGGCAGTCAAGTGAAAGCTCCATTTGGGCTCAGAGGTATCCATGTTCCCACACCAAAACAAATTCTGCCTTTTACCTGAGCTTTCTGAAAGCTCTGGGACTGGGCAAGGCTCAGGTTTAGCAGGCCTTGGTATCAGCAGACAAGATATCCAAAATATTTTTCTGTTTATTCTCTGTAATACTAGTGCTAGGTAAAATGGTTCTCATGCAGAATGCCTTGCTTTGAGGGAGACCTGTGGAACTAAAAACCATAAATGCAGCAAGAACAGCCCAGGATCACGCAAAATCCAAGTCTCCTTGCTCTCTTTCCCAGTCTGACCACTAAATTCCCTTCTTGCTCCTCTTCTAATAAAACAGCTGGTGAGCTAGGAATAGCTGGAAGGGCATTCCTCAGCTTCACAGTTGTAGTGCTTTATACTGATTTATCCCTAATGCCAGTGAAGTCAGCAGAGTTAAACCAATGTGAAACCAGGTCATAGCCAGAATTAAAATACAGAAGGGCATGTTCACCTTCATCAGATAAAGGCACAAATAGCAATAATAATAGCACCTGTAGCAGCTTACAAAAACTACTGTCATCACAGAAGCTGAAAAGAAACAGAAGACTAAATTATTTACAACAGCTTGTGGCCTGTTTCGCCCCTCACTTTTGTTAGGGATACACAAGGGGTGATCAGACCAAGGAAAAGGTCTTCATGCTTAATGATGTGTGATGGTGGGTGGAGCCACCATGTAGCAGGATCCAGGTACCTGTTGGAGTGGCAGGATCAGCCTTGAAGCTGCCAGTGCATCAGTTCCAGCCTGAGGCTGTTCCTGAGCCTCGGCCCAGACACCAGAGCTCTGCGTGCTGCTGTGGGAGCTGCTGCCTGCAGTCACCCTGGCAATGGACACCACGGGAAGGACTGGCTGCTCCTCCTCCTCCAGAGCACAGGGATGAGGCTGCTGGCTGTGGCTGTGTCACAAGGATAATCACAGCTGATGCTCGGGCACGGGCAGTCACTGCAGCCATCTCTCCTGTACAAGCCCTGCAAGCCAGCCCAGGCGTTCCTGTTTGCAGAACAGGAGAAGACCTGTGGCCTCACACTCTGAGGTAGCTGCATCTGTGACCTGGGGAAACTTTTATGTCTGCCTTCTGAAGAAACTGGTATTGCTTTCTGGGAGAGGTAGGATACAGGAGTAGATAAACCAGTCCTTTGATGCAGTTTGGAAAACTTCCTAATTCTAGAAAAGTCTAAGCATTAGAGCCTGAAATAATTTCAGATGTGCGACACTGTACAGACTGTCCAGGTTTTTGGAGCACTTTCCTTTAATGGTGTGGTTTATTTACGTGGTATGAACACTTGGAAAGTGAACAGGCTTCTTTAAGACAAGTGAATGATGCATGGAAGCATCTTTTCCTTGCAGTCACAGCAGAATCCAATTGATCATTTCTCATCCAGGGAGTCTGGGAGCCTATGGCTCTCAGCTGTAGTGGGAGTACTGTGTAGTTATGAGTTTTTGGTGATTTTTATTGTCATTAAAGGCCCTAGCCCCCAAAGTGGAAGCTTAAATGAAAAGCATATTTTTCTCAGTTTCATGTCTGTCTGTGTCCCAGTAGTGAGGATTTGCTCAGGCCTGCAGAATCAGACTCTTTAATCCTTTGCCCTCATGTTCACTTTTGACGCCATGTCCTGCCTGGGCTGCTGCCAGGAGCAGCCTTTCTGTAATCCCAGCTGCAATCATTATTTGTGCCACCCCTGCTCCCCAGGGGCTAATGGAAGGGAGCAACAAGGCACGTAAGTGCACTGTGTGAAGAAACAGATGCTGTTTTTCTCCTGTTCAGCTCCCTAGTGCCTGTTTTGGATTCCATTGTGTTTAAATACAAGTACAATAGGTAATAAATTTGTTCCATGCATTGTCCTCCTGAAGGGACAACACAAAGGGATTGGCTGGGTGGGGAGTTAATTCCGTCTTTTTCTGAGCTGATTGATGCAATTTGTTCTGTCTGCTGAGTGCTGGGTAACTCCCCAGCAGTAGAAACCTCTCACTTAGAAGTAATAACAGTTTAAACCTTGGTATGCTTCCACGTCCCTCTCAGAGCAGCCTCAGTTCCATTGGCACTGGGGGTGGTGCTGGAGGAGTGCTCCTGCAGCAAAACAAATAATTGGACTTCAGCTTGTGGAAGGTGGTGTAGCCTCTGCTGCATGCAGCAACACACGTGTAAATAATGGTTAAAGCTCTGTCTGGGCTTGTAGCTCAGGCTCCTGTGAGCGCTGCCCAGCCAGGGCTGAGTTCTGCTGCTGAGGTTACAGCATCACACAGAGCAGCAAACCTACCCAGGTGTGTTTGGTTTGTGTGGCAAGGTTTTGGCAGTGATGGGGGCTGCAGCAGTGGCTCCTGGGGGATGCTGCCAGAAACTTCCCCCATGTCTGACAAAGCAAATGCCAGATGCCTCCAACAAGGACCCACTGCTGGCCAAGGTGGGATATCTACCTCTGGGATAACAGGTCTAAAAAGAGGAGAAAACAAAAGAGCAATAGCTGCTGGGAGACAGAAGTGAGGCTATGGGAGAGCAACAGCACTAAATTCTGCAAGGTGAGTGCAGAAGGAGGGGCAGGAGGTGCCTCAGACAGTGGAGCAGGGATCCCCCTGCAGCCCATGGCGAAGGCCATGCTGAGGCAGCTGTGTCCCTGCAGCCATGGAGGTTCAAGGGGATGCAGAGATCCACCTCCAGCCCATGTCCAAAAGAGATTGTGACCCCATGGAACACCACAATGGAAGAGGTTCCTGGCAGGACCTCCTGGAGAGAGGAGCCCATGCTGGAGCAGGTTTGCTGGCAGGACTGGTGACACCCTGGGGAACCCACACTGGGCAGCCTGTTCCTGAAGGACTGCACTCCCTGTGAGAGATCCAGGCAGGAGCAGTTCATGAGGAACTGTAGCCCATGGGAAGGACTGACACTGGAGAAGTCCACAGAGGACTGTCCTCATGGGAGGGACCCCACACTGGAGCAAAGGAAGGATGTGAGGAGTCCTGCCCCAGAGAAGGAAGGAGCTGCAGAAACAATATGTAGTGAACTGACCACAACCCCAATTCCCTATCCCCCTGTACTGATGAGGTAGAGAATTTGGGAGTAAAGCAGAGCCCTGGAAGAAAAGAGTGGGGGAAGGTGTTTAAAGATTTGGTTTTATTTCTCATTATCTAACTGTGATTTGATGAGTAATAAACTAATATATGCAAGTTGGGTCTATTTTGCACCTGACAGTAATTGCTGAGTGATGTCTCTGTCCTTATCTCAAACCATGAGCCTTTCAATACATTTTCTGTCTCTTGTCCAGCTGGGGAAGGGAGTGATAGAACAGCTTTGGTGGGCACTTAGTGGGCATCAGCTTCAACCCACCACACCAGGTCACTTAATCCTGCCTCCCCTCTAAGGATCTCCTGGCTAGAATGCAGCTCCCAGCAATCCCTTGACTCTGTGCATTGAGTTTTTACAGGCAGGGTTGCTGCAAGGTCGTGCCCTCCCATGAGGGTTCAGCCAGGCGAGCCCAAGCCCTGTGTGTGGGCAGGAGAATGCTTCCCCAGCCCAGCCTGGAGGAAGCAAGGCATCCTTGTAAGCTGACTTAAGGTGTCAGGACTGTGACTCATGTTAATTACATGCTGAGAGGAAACTGAGGGAGACAGTGCCTCTTCACCCTCTGTCTCACCTCTGAGCAAGCTGGCTGCTACAAGTGAGATTTCTCAAGGTGCCCAGCACCAGTTATTTCCAAGTGGTTATCCAGCAGCAATCTGAACAACAGAATGGAGGGGTGTGGGGGGAAGAGCGTTCTCAGCTGAGGTGTGTTGATGGTGGCACTGTTCTTGTTCCCTTCCTCTCTACCCCTCCCAGCAAAGACACACAGAGCATTATGTCATTGGCATCCTGGTTCAGGTGGAATGAGCCCCCAAACCGCATTTCCCAGAGGAACCCCACAGAAATGGTGGTGGAAACGCTCATGATGGAGCTGAGCTGGCAGATCAAGCAGGCAGAGAAGCAGCAGCGCGAGCGGGAGAACGAATACCGCAAGATCAAGACCGGGGTGGACTACGGCTGGCTGGTCAGCTACCCAAAGCAGAGCTACGACATCAGCCCCGGAGAACGGCTGCAGCTGGAGGACATGTGCACCAAAATACATCCTTCCTACTGTGGGCCTGTCATACTCAGGTACAGTAAAAAACGGGGTGATAAAGACCTTTCTTTTACCCTTTTTCTCTTTATGATGTCTGAGGAGAGAGTGAGAGTTGCTAGGACCAACAGAACCAAAACTCAGCATCCTGTGTCATGAGTCATGCTGTGAAGGGAAATCTAATGTTTTAAGTTAAACACATAATTTCCTCCAAGAAGTTACAGAATGCTAATGCTACAGAATGCTTCCCTCTGACACTGGCTTGAGTGCTTTCTGCTCCTGACCAGCCAGAGCAGCGTTACCTTGCCTGATGAACAGGTACCATCTCAGTATTGTGATGGCTTTTTTTTGCTTCAGACTTTAGAATCATAGAGAAACTGAGGTTTAAAGGGACCTGTAGAGGGATGTACTTCCACTTCCTACTTGGAGTAGGGCCACTTTCAAAGTTAGATCAGGTTGCTTAGGGCCTTGTCCTGTCCACCGTTGAATATCTCTGAGGGCAGCGGTTCCACAGCCTCTGAACAACCTCCTTTGGTGTTTTCCCTCTCACTGGAGCCTTCATTCCTGGATTTAAGCTGCCAGCAGGTCTATTGAGGCACTTGTCCCCAGTGTCCAAACTAGCCTAAAAGTGCTATTATTTTTTTCAGCCTGTGAGCCAGGTATTCCCAGAGAATGTCTCCCTTCCCTACCCTCCCTCTTCACTCTAGATATGGAGTCATGGAATGCAGGTGAGGATGAGTTGGTTTGAACAGCCAAGTGGTGCTTCTGACTTCTGCAGTGTAGATGTACACACAGCCTCTCTTGCTGCTGAGCCTTTCAAGTGCTACACTTAGGATTGCTGCCTGCCAGCCAAGTGACCTCCTGTGAAAATGCCTTTAGAAATTGATCTAAGCCTGCTGTAGCATCCAGACTGGAAGGGAAGGGTGTGGCTCTTTTCCTTTTGGGATGGCTGTTCTAAGATAAATTCTTGCACTTGGCACAGTGAAGGCAAACTTGGCAAAGTGAGGAACGGTGACTCTGCAGTGCACCTTAGCCAAAGCAAAGTTGTGAAATGGGCCTTTATAATCAACTTCCCCTGTTCCAACATGTTCTTCAGTTGGGATTAGAATGAGCACAGTCCTTGCAGGGCATGTACAAGAGGGCTCTCAGCACCCTGCAGTCCCTCAGTGCATATGCTGGCTCATGTTTTCTCTTGAACAAATGAATCTATGGCCTCTGAGTTGCAGCTGTAAAAGTGCTGGAAATAGCTGGTCCTCTGTCCTAGAGTGGGTGTAGCCAGGAAATAATGCCAAAATCACCTCTCCAGCCCTCATCTTCCCTGGGGCTGAACCTTGGAAGCAACCTCACTCATAGAGCCTTGGCTCCTGCAAAGGTTGCCATGATGGCAGAATTTGGGATCATTCAGTGACCAAGATCTCTCCAGTGAAAATTTGCCGGGAACAGCACCTGTTTTGTGATTGTATAACTCCAAGCTGTGCTGTAAACAAGCCACTTGGGATTCAGAGCTATCTTTACCATCCCCAGGGCCACTGAGCAAGGCCAGTCTGGCTAACAGGATATTTCCATGACAGCAGGCTTCGGTTGCTGGAGCAGAGAGGCCCCAGGGTTCATCCTCTTCAGGAAAGTATTAAGCTGAGCCATATACAACTTGCTGCTCTGCTATTATTATTTTTTAAAATTGATACAGATCATGCAAGATGTATGATTTCAGTGCAGCTTGTAATGGTTGTTCACTGTTGTTCAGCATACTGATGGCAGTAGATAAATGTACTCAACAACGTTGGGGTGGACTCAGTGTGGGCATGATTGAGAAAGGCTAAAACCATCCTCTTATAACTTCTCTTACAAATAGGGTGCTGTCATAAATTGTATTACACTATGATTCGAGAAGTGGCATGTTTTACAGAGCTTGCATGGTTAGCAGGCCCCACTAAAAAAAACCTGGGGATTTCATAACCTTTGTTGGTTCAATTCTGTGACTGAGAAGGGGCTCTCACAGGCACAGAAATGTGGAACTGGATTTGTGTCAGAGGTCTGGCTGATCTGATGAGCAGTCACAGAGTGGCCACTAGCATCAGTGCAAGGAAAAGAGCAAAGGACAAGGAAGCAAATCCAACAGTAGGGACAATTACACCTCATATATAACATGCAACTTACTGTGCCTTGTAACTGGGATGCTTTTGGAGCCACAAGTAGATAGCCACTTCTATCCATAATTGGCTGGTGTGGCTTTTTCTTTCAGTTGTTTAGGTTCTGGGAGCTTTTTTCCTTTTGAACACATGTAAATTTATAGCATTTTGGCACTCTGTGGCACAGTTCCACTCCTGAACTACAACTCTGCTACAAAAAACTGTGTTTTGCTTGTCTTAAGCTAATGTGTCCTAGTTTTATTCAATAATCCTTTCATCTTGTGTTGGAAATGTTAAGAGTTGACCCCTCTTCTTTTCTACCTTCCAACTGAGAGCTCTGTTATTCCATGGAATTTTCACTGCTGGTGAGGAAACAAAAAGAATGGGGCTTGCCATGTTAGGAGGTGAAAATATACAGGAGCAAGAAAGGAGAAAAAGAAAGAGCCTGCAATTTAAAAGAAAGACAGCCAAAATTGGATACATTCTCTTTTGAGAAAGTGAGATAAAATGGAGATATTAGTAACTTCCCCAAAATTCCACGAGATGAGTATAATAGGAATGCAATGAAACCTCCACATTTCCAGTGAAGTACTTTAATAATAAGATCATTGCACTGCTGATGTTTTCTCTCAAGTACTCTGTGACTTCCTAATATGTAGCAGCTTTTAGAAAAATCTTCCACCAAAAAAAAAGTTTGTGAGTTTGCATTGGGAAATTAAAATGCAGTGTGTACCCTACTGAAGTCCTTGATTCTGACTGAAATAGTAAGCTTGATCCTTTCCCTTCCATTTTAGATATTTGAAGAGCTGAGGTCCTTTTTGAAGTCCTTTTTGCACTCGACAAGCACATAATTCTTAAATAACACAAGTAGCAGGCATCTTGCAAGACTGCAGAGTTTGTTTTGTTTGTGTCATGCAAGGTCTCCTGCTCTGAGTTCAGAGTCAAAGCCAGAACAAAACATTTTTATATGAGTTGTCAGAGATGTCACTTTGTTCTCTAAAGGTCTAAATGATTATCCAAATTGTCCTTTTCTGTGGGTATGGGCTCATTTACTGAGAGGCAAAGTTTCTCCAAATTTATTTCTTTAAATGTCGAGGAGGCTGGAAAGGAGCACTTCACAAATGAACAGGGTTATTTTCAGATCCAGATTGCCTATTTTGTATTTTGAGTCAATCGAAATTTCTCTTCAAGGCTCTTGGAATTCTGGAAAGATTCAAATACACTGCAAATAGCATCAGATATCTGGAGACTCTGATTCACCTCATGCAAATAAAGCCATTGCATTCAGGAGTAACTTAGCTTTAGGTTACTGGGTTAGAGATCGCTGTTTATTTAAAATTAAATCCTGGAGCCAGCTGAAGGAAATGACAGTGAGTTTGGTGAGGCCTGTAGTACCTGACTGCCATGGTTAAACTGAACAAGTAGAATAGTATGTTAAAAATAAAAAATGCTAGATTTATCCCATCTTTACTCAGAGCTTTAACCCTAGTCAGAGCTAGTTAAAGTCTGTTTAATTTCTTTCAGTTTCAGCAAAAGTGAAACAGTTGGTTTCTGTCCTCCTGTGCCCAGTGGGAAACAAAAAACTCCCTAGTATGGAAATGTAAACCTGCATTTTGATGATCTGAGTTGTCAATATCACAGACTAAGGACTGTAATTTTATAAGGATTGTGTATAGCTGAAGTGGCCTTCCTAGTAAGACTTAATTCAAGACAAATGACTAAAATCAGAAATGGATTTATGTACAAGCTTAAGTTTAAGGTGATGTGACATGAGTGTTGCAATTAGTGTGAATGCTGTAGTTCTTTGGGAGTCAAGGAGCCTTTTCTAGCAAAGCTGTTCGAGCGTTACCCTATAACCAGAATTACTGCTCAAAATATAGATTCAGGAGTCAGCAGCTAATTATTAGCACTGAGCAGCCCCACATTTTCTTTGAATGACTAAATCTACTTAGAGCTCCCCGTTCAGACGGGCATTCAGGAATACCCTGAACTATAAGCACATTGTTTAAGTCCATGGACTTTCATTGGATTTAACAGGTCTTTAAAGTTCAGGCTGTACTTAGGGAACCTGCTGTACAGGGGACCTACAGAATAACTCAGGCAGGTGACAGTGCTTTAAAAAGCAGTGACAGTATGAGCCAAGCACGGCCTGATTCTTGAAATCTGACAGCCCCATAAAGCAATGAAAGGGTCACAGCTTAAAGGACAAATTTGTTTGAACTGTGATTCAAACACTGCCTGGACTGGGGAATGTGCTCATCCCTGTGCATGCCTCTTCATCCTCCCCAGATCTGTGCTGGTTCGGGGTGAGTTTTTGTCACGTCTCAGACTGTGTGATGTGCACGATGTATTCCAGGAGAGCTGCCAGCAGTTCCATAGCTTGAACCACAAGTAAGATAGAGATGTCTGCTTTTGTGATGAGTAAGGAAACCCTGTTGAGGTGGTTCTGGACATGGTTGTGCAGTTGCCTAGTTTGAAACTATCCCATGCAAAAGTGTAAGGGTGTTAACCTGTGATAGAAGACAGATGAGCCTTGTGCAATTTTGTGTTCTTGACCTCACTGAGCAGCTTTGTGTGGAGTTTGTTTCCCAAGATACAAGGCCATACTACCTGATTCCAGTGGTTTTCTGGTTTTATATATTGGCTTTTCTGTGCAGAGAGCAGACTGCTGGAGCATCCAGCACATCAGCTGGTGTTCACTGATACCTGGGGAAGATGGTTTTGGTTATGTGTAGGTGCCTGCAGCAAAAGCATCTTTTTTTTCTGATACACAGACTTGTTTAGCTGGAGCTCAGCCCTGATAACCTGTCCAGCTTTTCTGTTGAGAAATATTTGTGGTGTGCACTCCTTTAGGACTTCATGAGCTTGTCCCTTACACAAACGTGCTGGTATTGAAGTTAGGTGGGCATTAATAAAAGGGTGAAGTTAGTTCATCCTGTTAGGGGAGAGAAAAGGATTCCCTTTCCCTTCCCCATCAGAATCAGGGTGGCTTTCCATTGTGTGACTGGCAGACAGTCTTTTGGATTGTTTTCTCTTTGTTTCTTAGACCTGGTCAAATCCTTACAAAATCCTTAGTTTTGGTGCTGGTCCTGAAAAGTAAGAGTTTCTCTTTGTTTCTTAGACCTGGTCAAATCCTTATGAAGTAGTTTTGGTGCTGCTCCTGAAAAGTAAGACGTAAATCTTAACAGCAGAGTTGACAAAACTAAGCTAAGAAGAGTGCAAACAGGCAGATAGCTGTGCAGGTGGAAAGCTACCCTGATTTCAGAAAACTATTTCAGCTGGATTTTTTGGGAGCCTTATCAGCAACCCAATGCAGGTGGAAAGCTACCCTGATTTCAGAAAACTGTTTCAGCTGGATTGGTTGGGAGCCTTATCAGCAACCCAGGCCATTAGCATTAGAGCTCTCTGCTCAGGGGGTTTATTTGCTGTCATATCATCCATTTCCCCTCTTGCATCCAGAGCCAGGCACTGGCCCAATAATAGCCTGATACAACCTGCTCCCTGCTCTGGACCAACAATCCAGCAGTATGACACACAGCCTCTGAAAGTGGAGGCAGTGATCAGGCCTTTTGGGTGCACAACTGCCAATACAAAAGAGGAAGATCTAAATTAATATATATATATATATAAATGATAGCACCTCTCTTTAAAACACACATTGAGATAAAATAATGGAATGTCTCATTTTAGTTCACCTCTGCAATAGAAATCCTTTGAGGCTGCTTTCCCTGGTATAATAATAGGAATGTTGTGAAGACTTGAGTTTCTATGGACTCACCTGTCTATGCTTCAAATAGGATAAAGGGAAAAATATATTTATTGTGAAAACTGTATTTTGGGCTCTTTGATAACGCAACTGAAGTGCCTCCTCAAAAGGCAGAAAGGAAGTTTGCAATGTTCAACAAATCCCAGTTCCTGCTGTTGTCCACTAACCCTCAGCAAGGGATCATCTCTTTCCCTTCCAGGCTCTGCACAATTCAGTTTGGCAGCCAGTACTTAAATATCAGCATGAACTACAGCACCTCAGAGGCTTTTTGCACCCAAACGTTCAAAGTTTTGAGGTTTTTGGTGAGGGGGCAGAGGAGGGAGATTGAAAGCGATAGAAACAGTTAAGGAACATTTTGGTGACTTTGGAAGGGCTTGTGTCAAACTGCTCTGGCTTGACACTGGAAGGGATTGGTGCTTCTGCTGACACCGAGTTCCCTCAGCGAGCAATGCTGGTGTCCCCACAGCTGTACCTGTAGCTGCCAGTACTTGCTGGGAGAGAAATATCTGGGATACAGCAGGGTGTCAAGATGTGTGGCCAATTTCAGGCCTCCACAGTCGGAGTCAAAATACATAAACATACAAAGTCTTTCTGGTTTCTCTTTGGCTTGCTTTCTGTCCTTATTATCTTGGGTATCCTTTGGCACACCATTAAGCAATGCAATTCCACATGTGCTAAACTCCTTACATTCCTGGGGCTTTTCAAAAACCCAAGAGGCAATATCTTATTCTGTCAGCTTCTGCTGTATTGGGCTCATTTAAGTACAGTCCTACTGTTTTCCATCCTTGTTCAGTTCTGTTGGAGGAAAATATCGAAATGCTTACCTTACACACTTTAGCTTCCCTGCAGTACAAATACCTGGATTTTAGTGAAGTACTAGTTTAGCTCTGTGTCTGCTTGCAGGTGTAATTTTACCTTAAGAACTGATTATTTACTAGAAGAGCAGCCATATTACCATCTGTCACAAATGTGTACTATTACAGAACAATCAGAATACCTATGTGACCAGAGTGTGAGCCATGGGAGTGGATCCCACAGTCTCCAGGCTGGGCACAATTCACCCAACAAGGTGTCAGGAATGGCATGATCTCTTTGTTGCCCAGCCTGTGGCCCATTCAGTGGCTTCAAGAAAACTATTCTGCCCTTCATCTTATCTTCCTCGCCTGCAAAATAAACAGTGGTGATTCTTCACTTCCTTGGTATTAAGCTAGGTTAAAAAAATTCAAAAAAACTCTGTTTTGAGCTATTTGCTGAGAAGGCACTGAAGTAATTCAGAGTTATCTAATTAGATACAGCATTGTGCTGCCAACCAAGATGTTTTCAGCTGAGCCAGTCCGTTATGTTACAGAAATTCATAGGAAGATGAAACACCATGGAAAGTTAAATATTGAAAGACTACCAAACAAAGTGACTGGATTTTCCTTTGTCTAGAGGCCATTGGGTAATGCTATCAGGAACAAGAATGGAAAACAGGGGAAATCACGTGGGGCTTTCCCTGATCTACCTTGAGCTTCTGGTGAGCTGCAGTTCAGGGACTATCTCGAGCAATGATGTGCATTTGGACAATCATGTTTAATGAGCAGTGATGGGGACATTTTCCACAAACTTGTCTAATAATTTTGTTTCTTAAGCTATTGACAGCATTGAGCTCTGGTTTAATAGGTGGTGTGTGAAAAGAGCACTTCCTTGTGTTTCAAACTCGCCTTCTAGCTTTGTTTGGTTCTCCCTATTATTTCTTATGCTTATAAGAAACAGTGATTCATCTCTTCCTTACATTCCCTGGCTTGCTTGTCATTTTAGATATGCCCAAGGTCATATCTTCATGGCCCCTCCTTGTTGTTCCCTTCTGTCCAGGGAGTCCCATTTAGCAGGAAAGTGCAAGTTCCAAGCCTAGAACAGCGATTTGGCAGCAATCCGTAATTTGATGTTTTTAATCAAAGCTGTGCCCTGACTGTGCTTCCAGGTTCAGGCAAGTTGTTGCGGAGTACGAACCAGAAGCGCAGGAAGTATCCCGGCTCTTCCGCTCCGTCCTGCAGGAAGCTGCTGAGAAGATCAAAGAGGAGGAAGAGGCCAAGAAGCTTGCAAGGCAATGGAACACAAAGAACAGAACCAGCCTCTCCTTAACAACATTTAAATCTCGGTCCAGGATTTCCCCATTCATCAGTGACATCAAGACCATCTCAGAGGATGTGGAACGGGGCACCCAGCCCAACAGGAGGGTTTGGAGCATGCCAGAATTTCGGAACACCAAGGATTTCTGACTCTATACTAAATAAGGTTTTTAGACACTGATCTTTCAAAAGTCCAGTTAACCCTTTTTTAACTCTACTGTTTCTTCTTTTTTCCATCTCTTTTCCTGCCTGTCTCTGTCTTGGAAGCTGTGTCCGTAGTAACCGCTGCAGATGCCTGCAGTCTGTGACACCATTTATTACCAAACATGGTAGCTTTTCCTTTAACTCAGTAGCTATCCAGTAACCTTAAGGACAAGGCTCACTTACTATCTCGTTTTTATTACTGCTTTCTTGTGGAAAATGAATTAGTTTTGCTATGTCTGTTTTCTCCCTTTCCCCTCCAGCCTGGATGTAGTTATCTATAAAAACGTTTGGCTCAAGCTACTGAGAGCTGCTGGCTCCTCCAATCTTGCTGAAAGCAAGACAGCCACCTAAATGAGTGAGGCTTGCAGGATCAGGCTTGTGAGCTAAAGCTAGTATCTGATTTGGAACTGAACTTCCTTTTCCAACTAATAGCCTTCCTCAGTGCTACAACAAACTTCACAGGTAACCTCAGCACTGCTCTTGATCCGCTTTTTTGCTGACAGTTCACAATCCAACCTGAGTAGAAACAGGCCCAAGCTTTTTGAGATTAAAGACCAATCATGTTCCACAACCACCAGTTTATGCATGTTCAAGTTTCTTGGGTACTTTCTCTTTTGTGCAGGCAGAACCCCCAGAACTTTGCACCTGCAGAGTAGATAGAAATTTATCAACCTGCTGTGTAGATACGCAGGTGGATACCTCAGTGCTGTGTCAAGTGCTGCTCTGGGGCCTCAGTGCTCTGTGCTGCTGAGAAATGCTCCACCCTACACCCCAGAAATAAATCAGAAATCACCCTGCTCTGCAGAAATTAATATTTATGGCCAAGCCTGAAAGAGGGCTGAAGTAGAGTGGCCATGTAAAGGGAAGGGTGAAGGGACTAAGCATTCATCTCCAGCGATCTCTGTACAGTGGCAACAGTTGAGATCATGTGAACTTTTTGCTGCTGTGAGTGACTGAAGTGCTCTGGCAGATGAAGGTTCTTCTGAGACCTTGAAGAGACAGGAAAATGCCACTAAGGAAAAGCTGCTAAGGCCCTAACGCAGCATCAGCAGGGAGAGCTTGCACCAGCAAAGGGAACAGCAGGGCACACTGTGAAAGTCGAGTGTCCTGCAGAGAACCCAAGGGCTAGGATGCTTTGTGGTGACCAACGGGAGATGGGGAACGAAGAGAGGGATTTGCTTGGATGACTGGCTTTTGGGGAATCATCTTAGTGGGGTATAGCCTCCTGGAGGACCCTGTAGCTTTGTTGTTCTTTTGTCCGTTTCCAGCTATTTTTCCCTGGGGATCTTTGCAACAGCATGTGGGTTCTACAGCCAAGATTAAAACCCTCTGAAGCTGTGCCAGCTCTGGGAAGAATTCCAGTACATTAAATCTATCCTAGACTAGAAATGTGCAGCTTCTTCCAGAGATGGAGGAAGGCATCATAAAACAAAGGTCGAGATCAACCCCATAAGAGCTCTCTGAGACTGGGATTCTGACTCTTCCTCTCTCCCCTCTGGGCTATGTAAGATTGAAGATAAGGCTTTCTTAGTAGCACCAGGCTGCAGTTTCTATCCCTTGGTAAACGTTGCTCCCAGCAACCCTGCTAGGGAGAGAAAGCAGCTCACTTTTAATAAAAAAGTCAGGGCTTCCAAATACAGCATCCAGTTTGAGACAGGCTATTCCAAGTTTAGGTCAATGAGGGAGAGTTTAAAGCCTTCTGACAATCAGCTTAGTATTTTTCAGCCAGATGTCCTTGTGAAGTAACGTGACTGCATATGTGAAGTAAAAACCAAGGCTAGACATACTTAGCATAACCTTAGCTGTCTAGAAGATGTAGGATCTCTAGCAAGGGGTCACCACAATTTGCAGAAACAATTCTTGTTTGGAAAAGAGTCAGCCATATTTTTTTTATATATTTGCAAGCCACTGTATGGTACTGAAGACTGAGATGAGTTCATGAATTTCATGCTACAGCTCTGTATTCATTTTATTTGCACTTATGTTCTGTTTGACACCTTCAGTATTGACTGCATTGATGAGATGTTTGATGGACTGCTGGGAGACACGGGACCTTCTGACACACTGCCACAAAGCTCTTTGTTACAGCACAGGGTCAGTAGCATGCTCACTCTTTCTTAAGGAGAATCAGCAGTAAGTACCTTCCCTGCAGCAATGTAAAAGCCGATGAAATCACTGATGGGTGTTCACACTATCACAGTAGCCTGTGATTGTGCTGTGTCCTTCATTAACAGCTTCCAGCTGGCAGACACCATTCTCGTGCAGCAAAGGAGGCAGAGCTGACCTTTGGTCAAAGCCCTGCGTGTTACGGAGGCCAGGCCGTGGCAGTGCTTGTGACAGCTGTTTTGCCTCAACTTACCTATAATTTATAATTCCACAATAAAACACGATCCAAACTCTTGAACAGTAGTATCACTCTCCCTTTACTACTTCTGGAAGTTACACTGGGCTCACAGTAGGATCTGATGGTAGAGGGATATTCAGAGACCAAGCTATGAGAGATCTATTCTTATTCCACGCTATCTAGTACTCTTACAGGGGTAGTCCAAACTCTTGAACAGTAGTATCACTCTCCCTTTACTACTTCTGGAAGTTACACTGGGCTCACAGTAGGATCTGATGGTAGAGGGATATTCAGAGACCAAGCTATGAGAGATCTTATTCTTATTCCAAGTAGTACCCTGTTTGACTGCAGCCAGCTGCTTGGACACTGACTGTGAGCTCCTGCATTGTGCATGCAGCAGCAGGTACTGAAGCAGAGCTGCGAGGTGATCAGGGTGCACAACTGCTGCACTGCTCCTGGTGCATTTTTCTTAGAAATGCTGCACACTGAACCTTAAATGATCCTTTGGTCTCAGCATGCAGCAAAGACCATGCACTCATGTTTGCCTTGTCCTAATTCCACATTTGGCATGGCTAAATTAGTGTCAGTTTAAATGAGGAGCATGAAACTCCTGACTTTTCCCACCTACTGTGCTGTGGTCCGTGGCACTGGGCACACACAGCAGGGTAACCAGATTGTTTCTGCCTAAAGCCAGCCCAAATGATCCATTGCAGGTGGTTCACAAACCATAAATCTGGACTAATGGTGGTCTGAAACAAACTCTCATGAAACTTGTATAGTGTGAAGTTATGGTCCTCACTGGTAACTGTCTGACTCCACAGCTCTGTTCCTCCTGGGCTGCACTACTTGCTAGTGTAGAAAAACTAACAAAAAATCTTGATGAGACCCTCTGATCTGTTTTCAGCACCTCCTGAGAGCTCGTCCTGTGTGTTAATTCTTTAAGGAGAATGAAACATTCCCTATCGGCATGTCATCGTTAACAAGCAGAAGTGAACCAAAAGAATCATTCTCAATCCTCAAACATTCTTTCAGAACTGAGCAAGGCTTTTGGTATTAGCTCAGAGCATCCCTGTTGCTCCTTTGCTGAGTGTTGTGCTGTCCAAAGGACATTGTCACACCTAGGAAAAAGCAGTCCTAGGTTTGCTATAACTGCTAATAAGTAATGGCAGCAGCTCAGCTACACTGCCCAGCTTCCAGGGGCTGGCTCTCCTTAGAGCCACTGCTGTCCTGAGGGAGGCTGTGCAGCCCTGCTCCTGTGGCTTCTAGAGATGAGCCTGGCCACGGGCTGTGCCAGCCAGAAAGGATGTGCAGGCAGGAGCTGAGATTCCTTACCCACAGCAGCACAGAGTTCAGGCAGCTGTCATGCCATGGGGAATTGGAATAAGCTCTGAGGGAAATACCTGTCTGCTGACACTGCACTGTTTATACATGTCAACATGGAACCTTGGAGAATTAAAGTAAAGCTGTGGAATATAAGCCAATTTATTTGTACTTGTCTTTAATTAAAGGTCTCCTGAAATATAATCTGTCTATATCTAGCCAAACACAACAGCTGTTCCACTGCCCTACTGTGTATGTATCAAAGCAGGAAGGCACGAAGGCTAAAGGCACTTGACCTAAACAAAAAACCCTCCTTCCTCTCTCTACAGGCTACACATGCAACTGCCCACCTTCTATCTTGCTAGCTCTACAATCAGATCTCAAGATAGGTGATAAATAACCAGGATTAAGCAATTGCAAAGGTCTGAAGTTCTCTGAAGCTACATGGTCTGCAGATACAACCTTGAATCAAAGTCTTCATCAACATCAACGTGCTTCTGAGCACGTCTTACATTAACCAGTATTACCACAAAATGAGATGACATGAGAGACAAAATGGGTGTTTTGTCTCCAGATACTTTTGAGTCACTCTGTTGATTCCATACCTGATCCTGTGTACTGGAACACTTTAATATCAGCAGATGGCCCCAGATGGCTCAGAGCTCCCTGTGCTAAGCAATGTATATACAAAGTATGCATGTGTTTTAAACAAAAGGGAACCCTTTTTTCCCCCACATGAGGTATTACTGAAGCATGAATTGCATTGCTTAGTACATTCTGGCATCAGACAGATGAGTGGTTCCAAAAGGGGACTGTGAGTACAGGGGGCCTATAGCACAGAGTTACTCCTTGCCAGAAGCTGTGGACAAGCACATCTGTGTTGTTGCTTACACAACTTCCCCCAGACACTGCTATAGGCCTCTCCCAGAAGGAAAAGTATCGTTTGACTGATTGGCCCCTCTGATATTCCTGTGTCCTGCTGCACCTCCCTGCTAAAAGATATGGCACTGCAGTTTTTCCCAAAAAGCATTCTTAGAAGAACTGGACTGCATCAGTCACAGCCTTCTTGGTTGTGCCCTGCAACAGAGTAGGCCTCCCTCAGTTCCACCCACCTGTGCCAGGCAGAGACATCATAATTTCAGTGCCTGCTTTTCCCTGGTACTGCTGTCTGTGTGTGGGCTGTTGGCACAAGGGACCTCTTGTTCCCTCTGCATAGTCAGACAAGCCATGTCTCAAGCTGGCTTACATCAGAAAGATGCTCTGATGGCCCTGAGTGCTGGGTCGTGGGCCCAGGTCTCCCAATGACTACCAGGTATTTTCTGTGCATTTCCTGCAAAAAGATATTCTCAGACAAAGGGAAAATCCTTACAGATGAGATCTTAAAAAAACACAACAGAAAGGTGAGAAAGAGGCCTACAAGACATACTGTATACACTGTCACTGGACACTTCATAATATAAATTGTTAGGGTCCTAGCTAGGATTACCCCACAGATTATAGCATTTTACCTCTGTATTTTAGCCACAGACACATGTTGCCCTTACCGAATAAATGTAATCTAACCCAGGAGCAGAGACACCAAAGTGAGGAAAAGAGCTTCTGTGTTTTTGACATCAGAGTATCTGCTCTCCGAATGTAATTACTATTACATCTGTTTAGTGTTCACAATGCTGTATCCTCAGAGGCCTCTATCAGGTCACAGTCCATCTGCAGTACTTTTCCAACCTGATTCTTTCCAGTGTCAAGTGGCTTAAAGCAACAGATTGCACTTAATTTGGTCTGAAGACTATTTAAATAACCAGATGTGTTATGAAGCAGTGACACTGAAATACTTCTTACGTTGCAGAGTCATCTTTTTATATTCTGGCACTGATATTTATGAGATGGAGAAGAGCAGAGTGCAGTTTCTGGAGAACTCAGCAGCCCCAGGTAGGGTGGTGCACCTTCCAGGCTTCTGCTGGCTCTCAGCAACCTGCTCCTGTTGAATTCAGCTACTGAGAAGTTAAAGGCTTCCTTCTGCCATTGGCACACAGGCACCAGCAGAAGAGACTATTGTCTGTCCTCAGCACAGCCAAGGGCAAAAAAGGAACAAAGACTGGATTAAATTCATAGGACAGCAGTAACACATGTTCCCCATAAACAACCATAATTAGGAATTTGCTAGCTAATTATAGGGTTTCAGAATAAGAAAGTGCAAAGCCAATGTCCAAAGGTAAAAAAAAAAAAAAAATTAAAAATATTTCTGTGACATTCCAGCTGGACAGCATTGCCACCTACCGGCAGATATTCCAGCACCGACCAACCAGGGAACAGGCAGCAGCTTCCTAACCAGGCCTCTCAGGACAAATGCAGATTCCTCACCCTCACACCACTGTTCTGTCACCCCCAGGACAGCTCACACATGGAGAGCAAAGTGAACACAAGTGATGTTAGCCCTGGTGTTCAGTGCCTGAGAGGAAGATGGCACAGCATGCTGGCATGGGAGCAGCTGCCATCATGGGCACGAGGTGCCTCTCAGGCTGGGTGGTGATGCTGCTCTTCAGGCTGCCCCAAAGGGCTCTAGGGGGCTTCCTTAGACCCCTCAGACAACACTGCATCAGTCACACTCCTGAAGCACAATTCAACACTGAAATTGAACAGGCAGGGAGAAGAAAATACCTGTTGCCAACAGGCAAATAAATCTCAGTCTCTGCCTTGGACAGTAATTTTGGTGATTAATTTTGTCCAGAGATGGAACTAGGTAGATGGCTGCTTGCCAATAATTTTAAGAAGTGGGTCCTAAAAACTCATCACCCTACAGCTTGAAATATAACCAAGTGCCAACTGGAGGATTCTCAAGTGTGCCCAGGACCTCATTCCTTCAGGAAAGCCCACTATGACATAAAATCCAGCCATTCCACAGAGTCCTCAAATGACAGAGGAGGTCCCAGCCTTGAGTGTTGAACCAGAACTTTGGAAACTTGTTTCTAAATACACATAGCAAAGACCCACACAGCAAAGACAATGAGGAGGGTGTTCAATGCATGAAAGGACATCAGAGCTCCACCAGCCATCACGGTCCTTGCCCACACCAGGAAACCTTCAGTGACTGACCCCAGGACAAGTCAATTCAGCCTCTCTGACCTCTGTTCTTCCCCTGCATGTAGCTCACTCAGTTTTTCCTGCTGCAGAGGATGACTGGGAATGATACATTCCTGCAGCATGAAACCCCAAGTACATCTAAACAGCAAAACCTGCCCAAATTTAACCATACTGAATATTAAACTGTTACCAAAATGGCAGGCCCTGCTCAGTTCTGCAGGATGAGACACCTTAGTTCCATGGAGCCAGGTACTTCCAAGCCAAAGTGGAATTTATCAATATTTCCTCAGCTTTTCATCTCTGCTATGTTTTTGTGTGGGCAAAAGAATAAAGTTCAAGCCAACTCTAAAGGAAATGAGTAACAAAGGACTGCACTGCCCACAGGAACTGGCTAGGGTAGAATATTTTAAACAGTGCCAAGGAAGATGGGCATGGCAGCAGCAGCTCAGAGAATGTATCCTTCATCTCCTTCCCACAACACTGACTTCTGCTTCTGAAAATTCTGCTTCTAAAAAAAATTCAGTTGAGTTCTGCACGACTCTCAGAATGGAAAATGGTGCAGAACACAGAAGGTGAGTGTGATAGGGAAGACTGTCACACACACACATACACTCACACAAAGGGCAGGTTTCACATCTAAAATACTTCTATTGCTTGGCTTTTTAAGAACCTCAACTTGCCCAGCCAGGTAAGCTTCTGCAGCCCCTGCCTCATCACCTGACCTCTGCCCCACTCCACAACTTCTGACAGCAGCCGTCTCCCTCCACCCCTGCCTCACCTTTTCCACTGCTCTATTGCTCCAGCCTTCACCCTTGCCCATGACATGCACTTCTTGGTAGAGCTGGCAGCAAGTCTCTCTGTCAGCCATGTATCAGGTTAACATCCCACGCGGCTTCACAGTTCCCTCATGCAAATTTCTCAACCTGATTTTCACCACATTCTTCCTGTTGTAGCCTTCCCACCCGGCTCAGTCTGTGGTGCACCTGCCACAACAGGGATCTGAAGCCAAACTTTAGTGAAAGGGTCAGTGAAATTAACTTCTTCCCTGAGGGTGAAATGCATGGAAAATTATTCTGGCTCTAAGGGCCTGTGCTCACTAGGGAGGACTGGAATCTGTTGGCCTTTTCCCAACAGCAGCTTCAAAGATACTCAGTCCCAAGAAGAAGCACAAGGTCTCAGAGCTTGTGAGCAAAGATGGAGAAGGGAAGGAAGCAACAGGACTCAAGCCTCTTCAGAAACCTGAGAGCCCAAACGGAGATGGGTAGAACAGAAAAGGAGGCTTACAAAAGCAGCAACTGCTGGGAAGTTCCAGAGAGCACTTGTAACTGACTGGGCAGGAGAGAATAAAGCAGAATTACTGCCACAAAGTTTAAGCAGCTTGGCTTTGTGGAAGAAATGACAGCTTAGAAATAAATGCTGCCACAGAAATATTTTAAAGCATCACCAAAGCATACCCAGCATGTCAAGAAAAATAAAGAGAAAATGTCTCTGTCCTGAACACACACACGCCCCCAAAAAAAGGGTTTGTTTTTTAAGAATAAATAGTTTGACTCATTTTTGTACCATGAGAGACAACTACCAAAACCCTAAAGGAAGAAGAGTCCGTATCATATTACTAAAGGCCCTTGGCCTTTTCCCTACTAATGCACAACCAGGCAGGAGTTTTTATGATCTTGAAACAAAAAGCAAATTATTTAAACTAAGTATGAACATTCCAACCAACACAGTTGTTTACAACTGTGATCTCTGGGTTTCCCGTTGCTATTTTCTTTCCATCTTCCAATTTCTACTCCCTACCCCGCGCCAAGTCTTCCAAAATTACACTATCTTTACATAGAATGTAAGCTAGGGAATGGGAAGGATGCTGTTTTGTAGAAGTGTGTTTGGGATTAAGCCTGTTATGCAAAGTCCAGAGACAAAAGCTGCTTATCTGGGCAAGATGCTTTGACATCACTAGCTATAAAATAGCAAAGTAGCATAAATCAAAGCATAATCCCCATGATAAATAAAAGGGGTTTTCCTGTTTGGTTGGTTTTTCCCCCCAGTGACATTTCAGTACAGTGCTTTCAAAAAAATCCTTTTGATTGTTGGATTAAAAGTCAAGGAAACTCCATTTCTTACCTATGTTTTTTGCAAGTTTTATGTTCATAAGAATGTACAGAGTTTCTCTGCTGGATCAGGGCTTTAGTCTCTAAAGAGTTACATCTCTGCAACAACTACAAAATGCTTCACAACAAAAGAAAACCAAGGAAAGGAGAGGATTCTAGCATCTTCAGAAGTTTCACAGAAAGTTTCACACATTAAAACAGTAATAAAATTATCCCTTGAGCAATGGTACAAATCTTCAAAATTTGTACCATTCAATTACTTCAAAACACTGTAGCAGACACAGACACAATTTTCCATTTGCTCTTTAATGAACTCCCCCCACTCTCACTGCTGTACACTTAATGTTTTTGTCAAAGTCCACTCCCCTTGAGGCCTTCCTTCAGGCATTCCTAAACTGTAGCTCCTGAGGAGCACCAGCTTCACGAGTGATTCAAGTGAACTCCCACAGCAGGGTTATGTACAGAGAGGCCTGCTGTGCAACCAAGAGTCAAGGTGTGGAAGGAAGAGTGCAGGCACTGAGCAACAGACCACAGCTGGCACACCCAGGCTGTGCTGGGCTCCTGCAGCCTGTCCAGCCCTGTCTCATCTCACAGTGAAGTCACTGTCACTGCCTGCCTCAACACCGTTCCACAGCTCTTTCTCCATCAGACTAAGGTATGTCAATGGTTTGTGCCTTGCTGCACTTCAAAGAGAAAGACTGGATACACGGCTCACAGGATCAGAAAAGCAGGCCACAACTCCAGAGCTTTCAGTCCAGGAACTGCAGCTCCAGATATGGGGGGTAAACGATCTATTATGAACTGAACAACTGATTCAGATAAACAACCAAAACCAGAGACCTTTCCTGCTTCTATTTTAGGATAAAAATAATTTGCTACCATTATTGCTCTAGAGTATTTTGCTGTTACACTTTCTAATGAGAGAGAGCAATAAACTGTCCAGAGAAATACCACATCCTGAGTTCTGAAAGAAAACAACATATTAGTGAATGAACTTTCAAAAAAAAATCATTTATGTAAAAGGATGCTCTATTTACAAAGGTCAGTTTGCTCTTCATGATACGCATAACCACTACCAGAAAAAAATACATAAAAGAAACACCTCATCTTTAAAATAAACATTTACAAATACTCTGCTTAAACTACAAGAAAAATTAAGACATTTGAAATTAAGAGTGCATTCTGCATGCAGTTAAGACAGAAATTACATTGCTGGACTTCAGTGTGTCATTTCTTATCATTGTGAACAACACACACTTGAGCTTTTCTAAAACACCACAGCCAATCTATTACCTTAGGATCTCAAAATGAGGACATGGATCTCCATTAACAAGTTATTAGCTACTCTGGTGTTTTGCCATTAAAAAAAGGACATCCCAATTTTCTTCTCAGTAGGAGGGTCTGGTCTTGTCCAACTTGGTGTCCTTTTCCCTGAGTTTCTCTTTAGTGTTCTGCTAGGATGACAGTTGGCTTGGTACATCCACCAGTCCTTGGTGAGGACTCTTGCTGTTACAAGGCAGAGTTCAGAAATTCCAGGAGCTGGGCACGGTTCCGGTCTCTCTGCAGAGCAGACAAGCAGAGGCAGTGGTTGAACAGACCTGTACTCAGGAGCAAAGCCACAGATCCCTGTTTTCTGTGGGATTTCCACCTCCCAAAGCAAGTGCCATTGACAGAGCTGGCTCTCACCAGCTACCAGTGAGGCCTGGGTGCCCAGGGGAAGTGCCAGGCAATGGCTTCTGGAGAGACAAATGTCTCACTATTCCAGGAGGCATTTCCTAAGTGGCTCCCTAAGGAGGCTCCACTGGGCTGTCATCCTGCAGCTCACAGCCGGCCCAGGAGAGAACTCACAAGCACAACAGATGCTCCTCTCTGGTGGCTGAAGCAACTTTCACTGTATTCACAGCAAGTCCTGAGCTTTGGGGAATATCTTTTTTCCCCTCTGTGCATGTACAGCAGCTTATGCAGCATAACAGAACCCTGAATTTGGGTTCTGTTTCACAGAAGAGATGGCCCAACCGGTCAATTCCAGAGTTTTTTTATAAAAAATTACTGGATTTTCAAATATTGATGGATGTTGTTCAATTCAGTAAGACCACAGGCCCCAATCAAAAAAAGGACCAACATCAAGTATTTGACATCAGATATTGTAACAAGCAGGCTACTGGAACAGAACAAGCAAACATTCAGCATAATTTAACACACACTTTGGCGTCACAGAGAGAAGATAATGTGTTTTCAGTCAAATTTAACTCAAGAATGCTCAGACTGCTTTGCCAGCTGTAGAATGAACTGCTAGGGCGGAACCTGAATCTGCCAAGCTGGACACCTCAAGGAAGGAACACTTCCTGACCAGTACCAGAGCCCTCTGCAGGTCATCCTAGGGTGTTGAAGAGTGAAGGTGTTTAAGTGCTGAGTCCAAACATCCAGAGCTATAGCACACACTACTATTCATGGTATTTATTTCCCAGGGTATCTCAGCAAAAACATTTGACTGCTCCGAGAAAATGCAGGAGCATGTGGTCCTAATAATACAACTGGGTTTTTAAAAATTCCTCTCTAAATCAAGGCTAGTCTTGCATGTGTTAGAAAAGCACAGTGAAGTAGCAATTATCACAACAGATCACAAGAGACTGAAAGAAGATGGGTACAATTAACACCAGTGTAAGAGAAAGTTACAAACTGGCTAATGATTACAGGCTGCAATTCTAAGAACCTACATAAGCATCCTTTGGTTTATCTGCTCATGACTGAGTATTACAAGCCCCTTCATAACATAAAACCTGCCAAAAGAATGATTTAATATTTTTCAGAGGGCATCACAGCCACACTAAAAGCTACACTCAGTTTACAACTCTTAACTGCAAGACCCACTCTTCTACAAAAACTACTATTAGAAAAACATTAAAAGATACAGCATTTTTTCTTAGGAACATTTAGACTAATTAACTCTTACCTCTATATCTTCCTTAGTCTTCTTTATTTTCATCTTAATTTTCTTTCCGGTTATCATGCTGTAGTTTTCATTCTTCTTTTTGTTTTTGAAGAACTGACATGAGATCACATGTTAAAAAGACATAAGCTTTGATCAGAACCATTACAAATCTTATGTAAAATTACAGACAATAATCTTTTAGACTTCCTTACTGTCCACAACAACAGAGAGAGGTTTCTACTGGTTGATGACCAAACTGGGGATCCCATAAACATTTTTATGACAGGATGGATTAAGTATGTAGGTGAGAAATAAAACAGGGCTTCACACTCAGACCAGCGTACCTTGGAAAGCTGGACAGGTCCTGTTTTCTCTTTCCTTTTCTTCTTTTCCTTCTTTTTCTTCATTTTGTTCTCCTTTTTCCTTTTCTACAATAATAAGACATACATTCTTATGCTTACAGACTAACAAGGGCAAAAACCCCAAACCCACAAGATCTCTCAAGGTCACTCAAGTTAAGACAGCCACGACTGCTTGCCCTTACCACTACTGGACAAGTAGCAGAAAGTAACACACCAGAGTTAGCAAACCTCAGGGCTCTGAGCAACAGAAAAGGTCTGATTCCCCATTCCCTCTCTTTTAAAGTAACCACAATATAAATCACTGAACATGGAATAGAAAAATTACAACAGCAAAAATGTACATTCACTTCTCTCACCAACTATAAATAATTTCTTCTGGCAAATTCTATAAAGTTATCAAGATTCCCCACTTCTCTTTTCTTCAGAGACTACTCTAAACTCCAGCTGGACCAGCAATGATTGGCAAAAGTACCTTGTAAATGTTTTCTCTTTTAGTATAAAGCCAAGTGCCCATTTATCAGTTCAGCTACCACAACCCTTAAAGTATGATTTAGATGTACAAAGCCACAGAAAAAAGCATTGTCTTACATGACATTTAAGGTTATTGAAACATAAAAACTGTTTTGTTTGTTAACTACTTTTTTCTCTTTGTAAACTTTTACCTTTTTGTTATGTTTTTCTTTTTTCTTTTTCTTTGACTTAGACTTAGGAGAATCTAAAATTAAGGAAAAAATAAACAACAAAATCAAACCCTGTAAGTTTAGCATTCTGAAAAAGGCATTAGTTTTACAGATAAGACAGAGAAATGTGAAACATATAAAGTGCTATATATAGTTCAGATATATATATATATATGTAGACACAGGCCACTGAACATGGAATAGAAAAATTACAACAGCAAAAATGTACATTCACTTCTCTCACCAACTATAAATAATTTCTTCTGGCAAATTCTATAAAGTTATCAAGATTCCCCACTTCTCTTTTCTTCAGAGACTACTCTAAACTCCAGCTGGACCAGCAATGATTGGCAAAAGTACCTTGTAAATGTTTTCTCTTTTAGTATAAAGCCAAGTGCCCATTTATCAGTTCAGCTACCACAACCCTTAAAGTATGATTTAGATGTACAAAGCCACAGAAAAAAGCATTGTCTTACATGACATTTAAGGTTATTGAAACATAAAAACTGTTTTGTTTGTTAACTACTTTTTTCTCTTTGTAAACTTTTACCTTTTTGTTATGTTTTTCTTTTTTCTTTTTCTTTGACTTAGACTTAGGAGAATCTAAAATTAAGGAAAAAATAAACAACAAAATCAAACCCTGTAAGTTTAGCATTCTGAAAAAGGCATTAGTTTTACAGATAAGACAGAGAAATGTGAAACATATAAAGTGCTATAGTTCAGACATATATATATATATATATATATAGATAAATAGATATATGTAGACACAGGTTGAACTAACCCTGAGAAAGGGAACACACTGGGTTACTGCCACATACTGGACTAACATGGAAACTGAAAATACCTGATTTACTGATTCTGCAGATGTGCCAGCTTCACCTGAGTCCTCAAAGTTAAATAGTTGAAATGTTAAGACCAAAACAGGGCTAAATCAAACCCACGACTCTGGTCTTGATAGACTGGTGAAGTTAAAAAGATCTGTGTTTTGAAAATGCAACAAACTAAGGGGCTTAAATATATACAGCATATTGTTACCAAGTAATATTTATTTGAATGGCAGTTTCTCTTTAGAAGGAATTCAAATTAACCTAATTACATTGCAAACTGTTTGTGCAGTGGCATCTTTACACACAATAGGAAAGGATTATGAGAAACACCCTGAATAAGCAGCACTGGTATTCTGCACTGTCACTCTGTGGTGGTTTCACCTCTTCTAAAACAAGCTTTAAATGCTCTCAGGAGTGCTACCAAAACTGGAAAACATCATGTGCATGTGGAGATAGCTTACCTCTACTACTACTGGAAGAAGATGACCTTGATGATGAGCGTGATGAGGAGGAAGAAGTGGATGTACTGCTAGAAGACGATGTGGATGAAACAGATGAGGATCTGCTTCTGCTGCGCTTTCGCTTCCTTTTTTCTTTTCCTTAGGGCAACACAAGGCAACAGTGACAAGCCTGCTAGTAACTGTGGCCTACAGAAATGACTCTTAGTAGAATTTAAACACAATAAACCCCTGTTTTGAGATGTTGGTTGTGTTTTTTCCCCACAGGCTGAACTAACCCTGAGAAAGGGAACACACTGGGTTACTGCCACATACTGGACTAACATGGAAACTGAAAATACCTGATTTACTGATTCTGCAGATGTGCCAGCTTCACCTGAGTCCTCAAAGTTAAATAGTTGAAATGTTAAGACCAAAGCAGGGCTAAATCAAACCCACAACTCTGGTCTTGATAGACTGGTGAAGTTAAAAAGATCTGTGTTTTGAAAATGCAACAAACTAAGGGGCTTAAATATATACAGCATATTGTTACCAAGTAATATTTATTTGAATGGCAGTTTCTCTTTAGAAGGAATTCAAATTAACCTAATTACATTGCAAACTGTTTGTGCAGTGGCATCTTTACACACAATAGGAAAGGATTATGAGAAACACCCTGAATAAGCAGCACTGGTATTCTGCACTGTCACTCTGTGGTGGTTTCACCTCTTCTAAAACAAGCTTTAAATGCTCTCAGGAGTGCTACCAAAACTGGAAAACATCATGTGCATGTGGAGATAGCTTACCTCTACTACTACTGGAAGAAGATGACCTTGATGATGAGCGTGATGAGGAGGAAGAAGTGGATGTACTGCTAGAAGACGATGTGGATGAAACAGATGAGGATCTGCTTCTGCTGCGCTTTCGCTTCCTTTTTTCTTTTCCTTAGGGCAACACAAGGCAACAGTGACAAGCCTGCTAGTAACTGTGGCCTACAGAAATGACTCTTAGTAGAATTTAAACACAATAAACCCCTGTTTTGAGATGTTGGTTTTTTCCTGCTCTTCCAGTGTGCCATGGTCTACTGGCATCAGCAAGCAAGCAAACCAGTAAATGACCCAGAGGGTGACACACAAACAAAAGCACATAAACACCAGAGAGCAGCAACAGATCACAGCACCTACCTCGGGCCTTCAGCCCTTCTTCTGAGGTTGCACACAGCGTCCTGCTTTTTTCATCCTTCCTGTTATCCATACCTAGTCAGAGACACAAGGACATTCAATAATATCACTTCCAAAAGACTGTGGCGGTGGGAGGCAAGTTCAGAAACAGAGGAATGGATCCAGCACGCCCGAGGGCAGCGCCATGGAAGCACAGGGTGGCACAGGTCGGAAGGGAGCACGGAGGGCTCACCCGCTCCCACCGCCCCGCTCCAGCAGGGTCATCCCGGGGCACACGGCCCGGGAGCACATCCCCTCCCATGACACCGCGCCTCCCTAAAGGGAAAGCACGTTCGGGCTCATCCCCCTGCACCAGGAGCCGGAGGCCAGAGCCGCGCTCGGGTGCCGCTGGCGCAGACGCCACGGGGGTGTCACCCACACCGGCGTGCCGGGCTGTCACCGCATCACGGATCCCCCCTGGGCCCCAGCGGCCGCAGGGCCCCGCGCTCCGGCCCGGCCCGGCCCGGCCCACCCCGCGTGCCCCAGCACGCCAGTCGTGGGGGGCTGGAACGGCTCCTGCTCCTGCTCTGAACCGAAACAAATCCAAACCCTGCTGAGCCCAGAGCCGGCCCAACCACAAATTGTCATCGCAGTGCATCCTCAGACCGTGAGGATATTCATCTGATCTAGCTCAGGGTTTCCTGAACTTGCTCTGAGTTCGTATCTGAACATATCTAAGTGCAAACCTAAATACCCATGAAGCACATTGATTCCTAATCTTAAGCAGTTTGTTTTTGTTGTTTTTTAATTAGTGTGGTTTTTTTGTTGTTTTTTTTTTTTAATTAGTGTAAACAAATGCCCAGTACTCTACATCCTTAAAAGTCTGCTTCAGTCCAGCCAAAAGGAATATAAGCCACAGTCCCTCCAGAGGATGATAAAATTATTTATTCTTACATTAGTTTATGTACACAGTAAAGACATTCGGCTGGAAAAATGCCTCTGTTGTAGTAAGAGATATTCAAACAACTACAAACTATCAATAAATACATTAGAAACATACGGCGCACTGATGTAGAAATACCCTATGCTCTTTTGGTTACTTACCCAGTACAATATTATTGAAAATTTTTTTGGTATTCTTCATGCAACATCAAAATTCTTCCTGACAGTTCATGCCACTCAACATTTTTTCTTTATTAGGAATGGGATGAAGTTTAAAACCCTGTTTACAAGCAGTAAAAAAATCACTGAAAATTTTAACATAAGTCTCTTAATTTGTGTACTAAAAAGAACAAATTCAAAGAAGGTTGTCTTAAAAAAATTAATTTTCTCAACTAATTCTTTATAAAATAGGCAGTATTTCAAAAGGGATGTTTCCATCACCCAGGATGAATTTGTGCTTCAGAATTTTAAAAGGAATATTCATGGCAAAAACCTAAACCCAACCAGTAGGTAGAGGAGAGATTGCAGTAGGAACTGCCTAAAACCAAACATGCTTCCAAAATCTGTCTAGGAAAACACTAAACACTTATCCACATCACTATGCCATCACCTATTCTAACAATTAGAAATGGAGTTTTAATAATACTTAGCTCTTCTCATGCTCAAACTTCTTCACAAACATTTAAATAGCCCTAACACTTCTGCAAGTATTATTATCCCCATTTTACATTTGGGGTGGTGGAGGGCTGGGAATTTGCCAGGATACAGACCAGACACATCCTTTTTATCTTGCCTCCCCTGCTTGTCTGAGTTCTTTATCACTTTCTGTATTTAGCACTCTGTGTACTGGAGAGCCCCAGAACACACGGAGAGTACATTCCCATCAGTTATTAGTGGTTATTATGGAAGCTGTGTCACTTTGAGGGTTACATGACAAATATTAAAGTAATAAACGACATGAAATCCAGGCTCAGGGTTGGTGTCACAGAATGGCACACCATCCACTGTCAAAACAAACCTGCTCTTTCTGTAACCAAGTGTTATGCCTAATTCATTCTGTTTTACAGCTGAAATGACTCTTGTGGTCAATGGTGGTGGTACACAAGAAAAAAATTTGTTCCTCACAATCTGTCCCGGGAACATGGAAAGCCCCTGTGGTGGCTCAGTACATCTTGACATTATAAAACAAAAAGGACTTCTAGATCAAAACAAAGATTTTGCATGTGCTAACCCACCATGAGGTACAGATTACTAAGGTCTCTTCCCCTCCACCCCTGAGTTAGAAATGTGTCTGAATTATTGTCTGAAAACCATCTGGGAAAGTGAATGTCTAGCAATAAGATTGCAGATACAAAATAAAGTATTTTGCCTTCATCTTGGTATTAATCCTTGAATTATTTAGATTGTTATCAACATCCCTCACAGGAAGAACATTTTTCATTTTACCACATTTGCCCTCCTGAATTTTCTATCTTATGTCTTTCAGTCTGTGCCCTGTTTTGATTTTATCCTGCCTGGTTTACTCTTACTCTAAAACCAGCTTAGTTTCTTGCTGTCTCTTGAAAAGCTGTGGAGCAATGGATAATGCTGTGGTGTTTCCCTACCTGACCTGTAAGAGATGAGAGATGCAATATTCTCCCACTTGTAATAACAAAATCACTGAGCATGCAAAATTACATCCCTCTTACAGGCACCCAAAAGGGCTTTAAAAAGGCACATGTGTTCTGTGTCATTTGTTCCTCAGTGCCTGACCTTGGTGGTTTTAGTGTGTCTCCAATAAACCCTGTACAACGCACACATTCCTTTGCAATATGGAAGGAACTTGAAATAAAAATTAAGATCTCCAGTCAGTAGCTGTGTCATCCTTTAACAAACACTAAAGGTGCACTGATTGTCAAAATTAGGTTCTTACAGCAACCTCACTCCCTAATCTATTTTCCCCCTTCTTCCCCAAACTTCTAGGAGAGACGAAAAGTGCATGTTATATAAGTGAGCTATTCCCCAAGCTCTTCCTGCCTTTTGTAGAGCTGGTAAGGCCAGAAAACATCTCTTTTGCACAGATGGGGATGCAAAAGAACAGGAATTTTGCCCCTCTTCCAGCAGTGCAGCCAGGAGCTGGCAGGCTGGCTGAGTATCCTGCCTCTGGCCATGTCCTGAGAGGTGAGAAGCACCTACAGCTTTTGGCTTCAGATGGGGACTGTGGATGTTTACCACCAATGGAAACCAGTCCCAAGGCACTAGGCAGGAGTGGAAAGTACACAAGAAAGCTGTTGTGACCTGGGGTACTCTGTACAGCTGAAAAAACAGGCTAAAAAAGTAAGAGGCATTGGCTCCTTCCTCTGGGCTTTCTGGAAAAACACAATTAAAACAAATAAAAAAGATGCAAGATACTTGGCAAATGTTTTCGCTGCCTAACTGAAGCCATTCTTCCTGCTTTAAAAATCTAGGAGATGGGGGGATCAAGACACATTGATTCAAATATGCTAATGTTGAAATGTTTCCATTGCAGACAAATGAAATGCACTTGTATGTTTGGGCATGGCTTCACTTCTGTGTGAGGGAGAGGAGCCCACAGGCCTGCCTGGGCTCCTGGGAATTTACTGGAGGAGGTTAATCTCCAAATACCAGTGTGGTGATGGGAGCCAAGCATTCCCCCCAGCCTGGACTGAACCAATCTGGATTGAATGCATGTTTGCACCAACCTGGGCTTCTAGCTGCCTTAAAAATGCAGTCTTGGAAAAAAGGGTAGAAAAGGAAAGGCTGATGCTTTGGCAATTCATTATTTGTCCTGTAGTCCAAAGTCATGAAACATTTTCAGTAGCTTAACTGGTGGCAATTTGCTATTGTATGGCTGGTGCTCACCACAAAAGCTGTTCTTCATGCTTACAGCAATCACATTGACAGGGCACGCTTTTCACAATTCCTCCAGATCAGTGAGATCCACGACCACTTTCAAAAAGAGTGTATCATCTCTGATGTAGGTGTTCTTTGTGTTCTCCAGGACGGTGTGCGGCACGAAGCGTGGACAGCCGGAGGCGATATTCATTTCTCCATCCGGCCTTTTGAAACTGCTGCTGTTGGGGTCAGCTCTAAAGACTTCCACAATGTGATTTTTTTTCCCACTTTGGTCCAAAAGCATAAGTGTAACCTTCTGCTTGAAAGGCCACAGCAGCAGCGAGTCAAACTCGCCCCTCATGACCACGAAGTAGAGGGAGATGTGCGTTCCCTTTCCCGAGCCGTCCCCGTTCAGGTAGGCCCTGGCACACAACCTGTACCCACAGCGGCTGGTGTAGAAGGGCTGGCTGGCTATGGACAGCACACGGCCTTCCACTGCCTCTCTTTTCTTCTTCTTGTAGTCCGTGATTTTCCAGATTAATTTCCCATTGTAGCACGTGCCTTCCAAAAGCTTAAATCGTTCTTCGTTTTTATTGAGCTGTGCTTTGTGTATATTAATCTGGAGATCATGTTTGCTGGACTGATCTTCCAAAACAACTGAGAGAAGAAGGAAACACAAGGAAATAGAAAAAAAAAAGAGAGAGAGATATCTGGTAAAATAAAACTGTCAGAGCCCTGGATAAAATGAGCACCCAGACTGAAGCTGGCAAAACTGATCTACCCAAGCCTGAGTACAGGCTATGAACTACGGCTGTTAACTTTTTAAAACTGTAATTGCACCTAGTAGTTGAATAAGAAAAGTGTCAGCTATAAATCGTGAATGCCTGAATAGCACCATGGCCTCCATCACAGTGCAGAAGCCAAACCAAGGCCAGCTCTTTGGCTCTGTGGCCCTGCAGTGTCACTGGAGGTCAGGAGACACTATGCAGTAGGAAAAGGTGGGAGAACACTGCGCACACTATCAGAGTTTGGTCTCAGAATGCATGAAGAAAGCCCATTCTAGTGAAGAGCTCCAACTGCCTGAGTGTAGCACCAGAGCCTCTACTTAGCCACCAGTAAATCAACAACCCCCCTACCTGTGCAGGGAAGTGCCAACATACCCAAGCGCTGGTCGTACGTCTCCATCTGGGCAATCTTCTGTTTCATGGTTTCAATTGTGTCAAACAGGGGCTGCAGGTCTAATTTACTTTGCTGCTGGTTTGCCATCTGTATTAGCTGTTTCACTTGTGATTCCAGGCGTGCAGACTTATCCAGGTGACTGGCCAGAGCCTTCCCAGGTCATGCCATTGGAAGAGGGTGGAAAGTAGAGACAAGAGATATCCATAAAACCAGATATTTGCTTTGAATTAAGATAGTGAAGTCTTTAGCATGTCAGCAGTAGCAACGATATGATGCATTCAAAGTGCTCTGCTGGCTTAGGAAATTATCCCAGTGCTCCTTCATGATTAATTCAGCACATTTACAGACTGAGAAGCCATTCCTCATTCAGAACCCATTCACACTGCACCACTTCATTCAACTCATTATTCAAATTTACACTTGCACATTTGCCCTGGGCATCTGACCATGAGGATTTATACTGTGCTTTTTGCCCAGGACATGTATCCAAACTTCTGTATCGATTAAAATGAAAAGATAATACCATATTGTAAAAAAATGAGAAGGTCTTGGGGAGATTTGTTATTGCTGTGCTATTAGTAACAACTATTACTGGAGAAATATATTTCAGGATGCAAAAAAGCATTGGTAAAAAAAGTAAAATCAATGTCTCACCTGAGTGCTTACCATCAAGTTGCTGTTGTTACCGAACAGTTGTGTATACTGTCTGAATTCTTTCTCACACTTCTTAATGGCATCTGCTAGCTGCTGGATTTTAATCTCTTTACATTCCAGGCTCTTATACAAGTCAGATATCTATGGACGGAAAAATCAGAGCATAAATGCTGAGGAACACCAAAACATACAATGAAGAAATTATAATGTATCTGACTGTATAAGAGACCGTGGTAAAGTTTACAATGCAAATCCTCTAAGTGAGCTAGATAGAGCACTCCTTAATTCACTATTTGTGAATAAGCACTGGCAAGAACTGCACATAAGTAATCAGACTTCTGAGCAGATCTGTGTGGCTCCAGGTGCAAAGAGGCTCCTAGCTCTCATTTCCATTGTGATGATCCATTCAGCTCTATAGTGGGATAATATATATTTACATGCACAGGTGCATGTGTACGTATATGCATTTTTTATCTCTGATGAGGTCTAACCAGCAGAAGAGATGAGTCAGTGAGGGATACACACTTCAAAACCAAGTTTTAGCAGTTTAGGACTAATTTCTTGCATAAACAAGCAAAGACTAAGTTCCTTGTCAGCTTTCATCCATTCAGTAACAGGACTGGGCCTACACCAAGTGTCTCCTGCTGGGAGCTAAAGAAGTGGTCTTGAGCAGAGAGGTGCTTGCAACTGGCTCTGCTGTCCTCTGTGCTACCTCCACACAGAGCAGGTGACCTGGGCACCTAAAGGCTGCTTTTTGGAGCAACCTGGCCAGTCAATTAAACTTTAAAATACTTTATCTCTAAACCTCATATCCAGTGTAAAGCAGAGACTGAAAGCAAATGAGGTGAGCAATAGCAAGGAGCCTCCCACTGTGCCTGGTGGAGAATATAAGTGCCTGAGCACAGAGAGGTTTCCCTGTAATTGACTGGCTTCACTAGAAGAGCTTATTCTGTCTTCTGAGGTGTGAAAAACCATAAAAACAGTCTTTTAAAATGTACCTGATCTAAACCAGGCAACAAATGTAGAATCTCGTATCATCCTCTAACCAGTCAAGAAGTGCTGAAGAGTGCTCATTAAATATGACTTACCCTCTCTTCCAACCGGGAGTTCTTGTCTAAAATCTGCAGCATGTGTTCCCTCAGGGCGCTGTTTTCATGTTCAGCAAGTTTCCCTCTTTTAACCTTAGTGAGGCAAAGGGGGAAAGTGAAAGAATAAAATAATAAGATATGCAGATTTTTGAAGCTGTTGGTAAAAAAATTATTGATGCAAACATTGAAAATGTCTCCTTTATGCCTTGAAAGGGAGGGAAGGGCAGTCCTGATTCTCTCGTATTTCAGCTTAGCCAGCAGAAATGGTTGTGAAAGGACATAAATTGGTTATTTTAATTATTCTGATGGTTTGGGAGACAAAGTCCAGTCCTAGTACAGACAAAGATTTGTAAAACAGTACCTTTATATGACAGCCGTACTGCTTATATGGACAGTCCACTTCTGCCTCGGGACACACAGCATGGTGCTTTTCAATCTGCATGTATTAAAGAAGCAGTTTGTGATTAAATAAACACTTAGTAATTTGAAGCGCTAATAAAATCTAAATGCCTGCCAAAAGGGTGAATAAAGGCCATTGTCATGACACCACCAATCACTTTTCCAGGAAAACGAGTATTCAGAATCAATAAGCAAGCCAGATATTTTTCCATGCTGCAAAACACCCATGGCTTGCAGTGACAGAATAATCCACTTATAAGATGGGAGATACATCCCTTTTAGGATTGAAAAAAGGAAATTCTTAGAGCAAATTTTATTGGCACGGGCCAATGTGGTCTGCAGCTTTCAGTTTTCATAAATTTATGCAATCTGCTGAATTGCAATATCAGTAAAAAAATAATAGTACCTCTTTTTTCAGAATTATTTGTGAACAGTTTTGGAGACAAGGCACAGGATAATCAGGACAGTCATTTTTCTCATGATTCTGAAGAAGAAGAAAACAGAACAAGGCAACGGCTTTAATTTTCGTAAAGTAGTATATACAGAGGAAGCTATGCAAAAAGTAATCCCAAACATACAAATGCAAGTAACATATCACTTTGTTGTTCATAAGAGAGTATCAATAATTGGTATGATTTAAAGCACATTTATTATACTTTCTTCTTCAGTTACTCAGTCAAATTTTGTTTCAGGAATTAAGTGCCATTGCAATGCTGGAAACTTTTTACTCAGCAATATCAAGGGGAAACAGGTGATGGATTCCCAGGAATGCTTCATAATCTTACCTTTATGTTAATTAACACCACATATGTATTACAGTACTGGCACCTCTCTTCTCGGAATTTACAGTGCTGGCTCAAGTGCTCCTTCAGGTCCTTGCGAAGAATTCGATCCCGACATCCATCATTAGTGCACTGCATGCTTTCAAACAAACACTGCTGCAGATGCTCCTGCAACACACAGCAGCAGGTTAAATGCCAAATGGCCAGTGTGACCTGGCACGTTTCCTCCAACGAACAATCACCTAAGCATTCAGAATATGAATGAACACTGCAATTTACAAAGGCTACATAAGGCAAATGGTTCTTATTAAAAATACAACCCTAAGGCAAAGCTGGAACAAGCTAAAAGCTGTAATATATGCTACTTACAGTGTATAGCTGTCATAATCTTTGTACTTGAACCACGCTGCTACAATAACTCTGAAGACAATCATGGGAATTTAGCTGATCATAAATACACAGAGCTGTCATAAAAATCAAAGGCTTCAAAATTTGATCAAGCAAACCAACCTGATATCGCCCCAGAATTACTTTTGAATTGCAATCAGGAAAGTTTTTGCAGAACACATGCAAGTTGAGTACTTCTCTTTTACAGCAGTTGTCTTTGAATACCTGTAAAGGAAGCAAACCAGGCTTAATATGCAGTCACATGGGATGTTATAAATAATATAAAAGAACAAAACATCACTGCAGATCTTCTAGGTGTTCAAGCGTAGACACCATAATTGTGAGTATGGCTATTGATAATTCATATTGAAAATTTGTATTGAAACTATAAAGTCAACCATTTATGACATTTCTAGTAAGCATGGGTCTTTTTCCCCCCCACATAGTTATTCCAGAGATGCTGATCCATCCCACAGCCAGCAGGACTAGTAGCACAGGAGCTGTATAACCACTGCCAGACCCTGCCTGTATCAAGAAGAAAGCAGCTGGAGCTAACAGGCTCCAAAAGTCAAACCAGCTCTGTGCATGCTCCACCATGTTCAAGCAGTGCCTTTGGGATGGAGGTGATGCTGAGATATTCTTTCTGTCACCTCTGAGAAGCAGCACCATTCTCAGCTGTAAACAAATGAAGCCCCCAGAGCAAACTCTCAGCCTTATTTAGAGATCTTCCCACATTGCTGTCATCAAAATTTGCAAGAAGTGGAAGATAACAAACAAAAAAAAAATCCTGTGGACGGTCTGATTATAATTTCCTATCAGGATTCTGAGAGAGAGGAAGGAGACATTTTATTTCCCTGGAACGTTTCTGGCAGAACCAGCATACAGTACACTTTTAAGCTTTGGAAGATAAATAAGGACAAACTAATCCAGTATAAAACAAAACAACCAAAAGCAACAATAGCTTGCAAAATAAAAAGGATTATCTCTCTTTTCCTCTAAAAGTTGCCCAAAAGTAAACTAGGTCTTCAGGGTTAATGAGATCTAACGGAGACAATCAAAAAAGCAAATTATAGCCAAGTTAAGATGAAAACAATCAGATAAACAAGATATGCCAGCAAGGTAGGGCATTTAAAAAGAAAATCAATAAAATCTCCATTAAAAAAACAGACATCTAGTGACTTGGGAGGATTCAAAGCTTTGTGAAATTCTTCAACACTTTACTGGAAATACAGAGGACTAAAATGAAATAACTTTAGAACATGAGGTATAAAATGAAGCTTAAGCTAGACAGCCATAATCCCTGAGCATCACTGAGTAGACTGCTTCCTTTAGCATTATTTCAGAGACAAAAAAACCTGCTCTGCCCTGAGGACTAAAAGCCACCTTGTTCTCAGCTGTCTTGCCTTTCCCATGTAAATGCTGACTGCTGAAATAAAACTATAGCTACTTACCTCATGCATTTTTATTGTTTCTTTGTCGACAGGACAGGTGGGTACTGCATTTAACTCTCTAGATCAAAAGAAGAGTCGTGTTAACCCACAGGAAATTCAATTTATTTTATGAAATTGGGCTATGCTATTATCTGACTCTGACAGAAGTCAGCAGTAGATAGTATAAAAACAAACAACTAAAAGAAGTCCTTCAAAAACACTTTCATCTGGCAACTACACAGCCAAATTCTGCCAACAGCTCAAAGAGGGCATAAAGCAGTAACTGTGAGTATGTAACAGAAAGCAGAGTTTGCCCTAAGAGTGTTCAATGGTAAAAACCACAAGATGTTTTTTAATTAAGAGAATGTTGTCACTGTCTGACCATCTGCAGATCACAAATGTCATATCTCTAAAAATCTCATTGTGTGCTTTAAACCCAGCCTTTTTCTACTAGAAGCAGTGCCCTCCTTACTATACCACTAAAAGATCTAATGGCTTCTTTCTTAAAAGGCATAGAAATTGTGTAAAATCCAGGAAAACAGTCATAGAGGCAGTGCAAAAGGAGTCAACCCAGAGACAAAGCAGCAAACATCTAAAGTTCACAGAAGGTAATTAGTGACATCCATCCACATAAAAAGGCTCCTCTGCAACCTTTCCAAATGAAATCCTGCCCTCAGGTACACTAAAGAGTCCATAATGTATTCCCAGACAGGTCTGGTGGGGTAAACTCTTTTGTACCAAGCAAGAGGGATCCAGCAGCCTTGTGATCTGAATGCAGCATCAGGTAATATTAACATCAGTTTATAATTCTGCTAAATTCAGAGGAATTACACAGAAGCAAATGAACACAGCCTAATTTAACCACCAACACCATGAGGCATCAATGCAGCAAATTCCTCTGAAGAGCACCACGGCAGACAGACAGACCACAGCAGCATCTCACACAGCACTATCAGCTTACATCAACAGTTTCTTCATGCTGACTTCCCTGCGGCTCACCAGCACGGGTAAGGTCTTTAGAGACACCTTTCAAACACTGAGCATGCAGTCACTGGGTTCAACAGAGCCCTGCCATTGACCCTTCAGCCTACCTGGCTCGGTAATATTATGGCACTCAGTGATGATTTATAGAAGACGTGGGCTGCTTTTTTTAGGAAAGGGAACAAGGGGAGCCTGCGGACACGGGAGGAGTCTGCTCTCACCTCAGAGCGAGGATGCACTGCTGGCAGAAGCGGTGCCCGCATCCCGTCTGGTGGGGGTTGCGCAGGACCAGGTGGCAGTAGGCACACTTGTACCTCTCCTCCAGGCTTTCCACAAACTTGTAGTTGGTGTCGGGCTCGAAGTCCAGGGAGCTGGTGTTGGAGGAGTTCTGGCGTGTGAAGATGCCTGAGAGAGCAGCGGGTTCGTCACAGGCCATGGGAGCTGCACTGGGAAGCGAAGCAGACGCAGGGAAAAGCTCTTCAAACACTCCCTGGCAGCCACTCTGCCTGGGCTACCGCTGGCAGCAGGCTGCTGCTGGCAGGAGGGCTCTCATCTGCACGGGGGAGACAGGTTTCAGAGGGAAACGTGGTGCCAGCTATGGAGGAACAATAAAACACTCACAGAACCACGAAACAAAGATCACGCTACAAGCATCAAAGCGCACTTCTTTGGAAAAGAGCTTCACAATCTGAAAATTATTCCACAGAATTGAGATTTTTATGGTTTGGTTGGGGTTTTTTGTTTGTTTGTTTGTTTTCTTGCAGCAGTTCTTAGTCTTAAAAAATGACAAGAGTCTCAGACACAGCTGGGGAAAGCAGAGGCCAAGTCTTGGACTTAGTGTTCACCAGGAAAGTCTCTACTTAAAGTACAGCCCACCCACATGAATTTACAAGTTCATTGCACTGGTTCAAGCAGGAGATGGCTTTGTGGTTCAAAGCAAGGAGCATACAAAAAAGAAACCAGCAGGGGGATTTTACCTTCAGTTTAGGTGTTACAGGAGTTGAAGCCTCTTAACTTGACATCTTTCTTTTTCCCATTGATCATTCATTTCTAGCAGTAAACTCTTATTTTACTGAATTATGTACAAGTTTTTGGCTATATTAATTCTGTCTGAAAGAAGTGGTGAGAAGAAAAGATAGGAAAGAAGGGTTGCAATCAGAAGTGTGACATAAGTTTTTCTTTCAACCTACCATAACTCATGCACAGCACAGGAATACAACGCTAATCTTCCAATAGGAAAAACCATCAACATTTGTTCCAAGTCTTAAGTCACAAACCTCAAGATTTGCCACCAGTCCCTCAACCTTGCAGTTTTTATTTTTTTGCAAGTAGCTCAAGCCCTAGAGCCATTCTGGTTGGCATTTCTAGCAGCTTTGCACTCAAGACGTTTTCCTTACAGAACTGTACAAAAGCACAACACACCTGAGCTGCCAGATCCTGATTTCATGAGAGAAGTGCTCAGTTTTACAGCTGTGCTGTGGGATGCTATTTCTTCTCTGTGTGCACCACCCGCCCTGTCAGTCACTGGAGTCACTCTTACTGGCATCAGCACCTGTCTGAGAGCTCTCACTCATCTCCTGTAAGGTCACTGAGGGCATTTGCTGCTTTTGGAAGGAAGCAGGGTCAGCACATCAACAGTAACAACCTTGTGTCTGGCATGAAACAGTGTGCCCAGTGCTGACACTCTGCCCTTCCTCCCTGCTGCAGTGGCCTCCTGGCCCAAAAAGCAGCAATTAGTGAGCTGCCACAGAGCACCTTGGGCTTCAGAAAGCAACATCCATTTTCCTTTCTACTTTAACAATCCATACTGGGCGAGGAAATCCTGCAGACAGATAATGTGCCTGATTCAAAAACACACCAAAGCACTTAACCAATTAACATGTATTCCACAGCCAACATTTAAGTGCTCCTGTAACTCAGCACCCTCGTTAGTGGCTGTACACAGTATTCACCTCCCCAGCTTGTGACACCCTTCCTGCCTTTCACCAGGCTGAATGTCTGACATCCTCCAGCACAACTGATCATCTAACGTGGGTAGCCCTCAGGAATATGAACTGTAATCATATTCCAGCCATTAAAGACTTATTATTCCAACAGAAGTTTGCAAATTACCCTATTTGGTCCCTCCAAATGAACAGCCTCCTGCTTCAAACCAGACAGGGTTGTCCATTTGCTTCTTTCATTTTTAAACAGTTGATCTTTCCTCCTCTGAAAATGCATCTCCTGGTTCCCTGACACCTAATAAGGAGCAATTCTCTTTTCCTCATGTCAACCATAGATGACAAAATGCAGCCTGAGGGATCACCAGTCTGCTGTCTGGGCTGCCTCAGTAGCCGATGCCAGCAGCAAAGTGTTCCTGCTGCTTCTAAGGCAGATGGAGAGCTGTCACCATTAACTTCCAGAGCATGGACCACCCACAGGATAAGCTGCCTAAGAACTCACTCTGCTGTGGGTCAGTGAGAACCCTGAAACAAGTTTCCTTCCTCTCTCTTATTGCTGCTCTCTCTCCTGTTTACTTGGCATACAATTTCCCCAGTCCTATTATGCTCCAGCACTTACCTCATCTGATGGTATGGTTTAGCAAGCTAATGCCACACTGTGTAAAAACATACTGAAAAAACCCCAACAACAACAACAACAACAACAAAAATTATATGTTTTACCCATTTTGCCTTTAGGGATCTTCCTTAACTCCAGAAACTCCAGCTGGAGTGACATGTTTTAGGCTAAAAAGTTATGGAACACATTAAAAAGAAACAGTCAGCAGCCCAAAATCACATCAAGAAACTCCTCCAGAGCTCTCACTGCTCATTAAATCAACCAAAATCACTCCCCTTTCTTTCTGCAAGGAGCCACTCTGCTGTGGTACAACTCCTTCCAACTCTCTTGCTGAAATGAGAGCCTGTATCTATTTAAACACCTTCATAATGGACCCAACCCAGATCCCACTCCTAAAAATGGAGATGCTTGGCATCTCCATGAAAGCACCTCCTCCACCTCAGCCTTGCCCAGGACAGTACTGCACAGCTGAGGGCACCTCAGGACACAGGAAAGAGCACCCCAGGTGAAAGGGGAGGCTGCCTGCTCAGGGCAGAGCGGAAACCTCAGAAGATGAGGGAGTTCGCTGCTGCTGCCAGCCTTGCAGGAGCTTTGCTGCAGGGCTTGCAGCTGTTCTGCTGGAAGAAATGGGCTGCTCCAGGAGCTTTGCCCAAGCTGGAGAGGTGCCCGTGTGAATCAGCTGGGGATTCTCAGAGGAGCTGGGAAACAGCAGCCCTGTGCCAAGCAGGCAGTGGGATGCGATCCAAACCAGCCCAGCAGCGTGCAATTCCCATCCCAGCACTCACCAGTGACTCAGGGCGGCTTGCAGCAGCTCTGCTCCCACTCCTGCCCTCCAGCACACGGGCTCTCTGAACTGAAACCAAAGGGAAACCGTCAGGGGAAAAAGTGCTGGTAGGTGACAGCGAGAGCAGCCCAGGGTTATCTGAATCAATTTCCTGCTTACGCTGATGCCTGGCCAGCGTAGGTAGGGGCTGAGGTAGCTTTCACTTCTGTCTGCTCACAGCTTCCAGCAAGGGGAAGCTGTCCTGCCTTTGTGTATGCTGCAATCTTCCAGCACACGTGTGAACTGTAATGCTGGTTTAAAATAGCAGAGAGCGGCAGGCTCGTGCTGCATAATGATGCTCTTGTGGCAGACACAGTGCACGCTGTAAAAAGATTTTCACTGCAACTGCACCGCAACAGCACACACACAAAACCCCCCAATCTATGGAGACCGAAAATCTACATGTTTAAAGACAAAAAGGATTTCCCTATACTGAAATAAATACAATTAATTCTGCCCACACATAAAAAAAAGTGGTATGAATCATTTGAAGCTAAGCCCAAGTCCTACAAACACCTACCAATGAGTGGGAGCTCAATGGCAGAGCAGTACAAAGAGCTCCCAGCTGCACCTTCCCACCACTTCAGCATCCCAGCCCTACCTGCACCACAAGCTGCACAAGCAAAATGCTTCTGGGACAACTCTTTTTATGCAGATGCCTTAACCTCACTGGAAATAATCCAAGTGGGAGAATTTTCGTAACAAAAATAAACTTTATAAATTGTGAGCTATCCTGTTTTAACTGCCACCACACCAAACTGAGCCCAAATATTTTCTAGTAAAATGCTCCACACTTAGAATTGCTTCTTGTTCAGAAACAGAGCAGAACATAATAATAAGGAGAAAAATCAACATGGGCAAGACTTACTAGAATATAAATTGCATCAACATTTTAAAGCCATGTTCAAACAGCTCCTTTCCAGCTCCCCTCAGCTCTCTATCTACAGCACCAGCAGTCAGAATGACAGAGCCTGTGTGGAACCTTGATCACACTGAACTACTGTGGACAGATTAACTTCTTCTAGCCACAAAGACATATTTCTGCACACAGGAAAAACCATTCCTTATGATGTGGTTGCTTTTTTTAAAGAGAACATATTTTTCCTGTTTTTTCTCATATGAATCCAATCATTACCCCATGAGCTGTGAGTGCATCACTACAGCCAGAACTTCCAGGACAGCAGAACCAGGCACAGTCACTGGCTGCCACCATGTCTCAGACTGAGAAGGGAAAATATCCAAGTTGTTATCACAGATTTGATCACCAGACATGGACAAGAACACAGGATCCCTAGTCCTGCTGCCCAGCAAATGGGGCTGAGAGCTCAGCTTCTGCCAGGTTCAGTGCATGAGGGGAGGGTGATGCTCAGCCACCCTCCAGGACTGGGGTATTCCCAGTAAAAACCACCTTCCTCACTTAACAGCTTCCATGCCACGCATTCAAAGGGCACAGAAAAAAGGTTATGCACCTACATTTCTGTAGCTCTAGTCCATCTCTGTTGCTTTGCACTAAGACACTTGGTAAGTACAAGTCTTAAAAGATGCCCTGCCCCTCCCTCTAAAATCATCTACCTTTTATGGTAGATCAGAGCAGTCTTAGGCACAGTGAGAAAAGTTTTGTCAGATTTGGAGGTCTAAGACAAAGTCACTTCATTGGGAGGTAACAGGCAGAAACAGGATAGAGGGGAACACATCTTGCATTAAAACAACCCTTTCCAAGCTGCCTTATAAACTACTAAATTTATGAACAGATTAGCTGCCTCCAGTACTTTTGAATTAAAATAACAAATTTACATGATTTACTACTCTAAGGTCCTCCAAAACTCCACTATTTTGGCTACAAAAAATATATGCCCCAACTCAACACACAGAGAGGAAGAGCTAACAGTTTGCTAAAGAATGACTAAAAGTATCTATACAGCTTGAGATACATATTTAAGATTCAGCAAGTTATATGGAGTCATGTGGAAACAGGAGATGATGACATCTCCCAGGAAGAGTTAGAACACTTGCAGAGTTCCCATATGGGAGAAGGACTCTGGCTGCATCGTGTGTGTCCCTGCAGCACAGAGGCTGGAGGAAGGAAAGGATCCCCTGTTGCACCAACACAGAGCCACTGCTAGCACTCAGGGCTCATTTCCACTTCACCTGGCAGCAAGTGAACCTCAGGAACTGCTCTGCTGTTGTCCGAATCACTTAAAAGCTGCAGGGCAGTGACCAGCTGGTACCCAGGAGAGAGTATTTCTAACAGCAACAATTTCCTATTGGATATGTGCCTGAGCCTCCCCAGGGGATGTTGCTGCAGAGGACAGCAGAATAAACATTTTCTTTTGTATACAGACACCACAATGCTATTGAAGTTCCAACTGTAGTATTACCTCATCCTCAAGGCACAGTAAAACCTTACTAAGCAAGCATCAGTTTGCTCATCTCCATAGGCAAATTTTCACTAAGCAGAGTAAGACAGTAGGGTTTCCTTTGCGTAGAGGTACAGTCAAGCATTACAATAAATTCCCATAAGACTAGACTGCATCAGGGTTTTAAGACACAGGTTACAACACAGCATTAAAAAAAATTAAAAATACATTCTTACAATTAATGAAGAGTGTCTGGTGCTAAAACAGCTTTGATTTTACAGCCAGTTTACTTATTTGCTACATCTACTGTCTTCCCTGGACATTCTAAAAATAATTAATTGATTAATTTTGCATTATCAAGAAATCTATTTCTAATCAACACAATATTGAAATGCCTTAAAATAACCTCATTCACAGCTGGAAAATAAACTTGTTTCCATCACTTCTGTGGCAATCCCTGAATGTTTTATCACCTTCCCAAGCACCAACAGAACTCTCAGTAAGAAGGCTCTGCCTCTCACCCTTACAACATCACAACTCCACTTTGCTGGTTCACAGAGGGGTAAACTTGTTCCCTGAGATGTTTTGGGTCTGCAGCCTTCCCTCCCAACCCCTGTGTGCCAAGCCCCTCAACAGCCCTTCAGAAATGAGAAATAATTCTGGCAAAGTTAAGCTCCTGCCAGCATTAACAAGACACATTTTGGTAAAGCCATACCTGGAAGCTGTAGCTGGTCCTCAATGGGGAGAAAATGAGAGAGAGACAGAAACAGAGACACAGAGTGAGCTTTGTGGTTAGCTCAGCAGTACAAGCACTTTAAAACAGCAAGGGAGTGGAAATCCCCCAGAGCAGCTTTGAAAAGATCATGCATAAAAATGTTTTAGAAGTGTTAGGATACAAGGCAAGCCACTGAAAAGTATTTTGCCTTACTGCAATGATGTAGGGACTGCAAATTTACCATCTGGAGCGACACAAGGTTACCAAGGACGTTTCTCACAGTTGGAATCCAAGATACAGAGTAGATTTCACCTTCCACAAAACTGGTGAGTGATGTCATCAAAGAAAAAGTACAAGGGTAGCAGGAAACACACCAGGACATAAGAAACACCCAGGTCCAATCCTGTGAAGCCCTCCACAGCAGCCTCGGCAAAGCCAGGTGAACCCACCCACTGCAGGAAGTGAAGTGGAGCTCACAGAGGAAGCAGCTCGGTCACATCAGCTCATGCCACAGGCTGCACAGGCATGAGGCATTCAAACAGAACTCTCAAATGGAAATAAAATCCATTTTAGGAAAATAAACATTTTATTTGGTTTTGTAATAACTTAAGTGGCCATAATACCCAAATGGTTTTGTAGTCTCAACTTAATTGTGCACGCAGGATTCTTGGCAGCCTCCATCTCCCTCCTTCTGCATCAGCCTCCCTCCCCAAAATGTGCTGTCCTCAAGGCAGTGCCTTAGGCTCCATCTCTACCCCCACTCTTTCTTTATCCTCCTCTGCCCTCTTCCTTTGGTTTCTGGTCACTTGTTTTAATTTTTTTTCTTCCTTTCCTAAAGTAACCTATTATATTTTCTCTGAAAGCAGTAATTTTTAAGTCTCCTGTTATTTAAAATAATAATTTTCCAAATAAAGTGTCTATTCTCTTTTGTACTTAATGCAACATATAGCCTCTTTTGCCTTTTCCCTTTAACTGAGCTTTCTCCCAAAGCATTTCTATTCTATTTCAATTTCCATTTCCCCTCCCAGGAGGTGTCTCAACCTACAGCATGTTTTCCTGAACCTTCCATGAAACTCTGCAACAGACAAATCATTGCATCATGAAGTCAGTGGCCAAGAGAAAGGCACCAATTTGCAGGCATGATGCTTCTTTATGGGATCAATTAAATTGATTTGAGTTGCATTTCTCAGCACAGCCTAAGCTCCCTTCTACAGTCAAGCTTTTTAACCCAGAAGGTGTCCTTTCATCCCTGCCATCAGCACCTGTCCTCAGGTTGCTACACAGGCAGCACCAGGCTGGCACCAGAACAGCACAACAGCTTGTGCACAGACTTCCCTTGAGCCTGCCAGCTCTCAGGGAAGGGCACATCCAGCTGGGTTCCTCGGGAGGAGGCAGCGCTGCAGAAGTTGTAGTGCTCTGCAAGCACAGCTCCAGGAAGCACCATCTGCTTCTGGGAAGCTTTGGGGAAAACCCCAAATGGAGAAGTTGAGTGGGAGCAGGATCTTAATTTTAAACAGTTTGACTCTGCAGATGAGTAGAGAGCAGCAGGCCAGTGTTATTGCTTGTGAGCAGCCCCGACCTCCTCCAGCGCCAAGCACAATGCTGAAACCCTGACCAAGTTTCAAGCAAATTCAAGGGGATGAACTCGAGAGAAAAGGCAGACAGCAACAGCATTTAGGAAACAGAGTGAAGGAAGACACACAAAAGCAAAATAAAGAGACAAAAGTTACTGAAAACAACTAACAGGCTTTATTTTTTTTTATCTTTTAGTATACTGAAGCCAAAGTGAGTCATCACTTTTCCTAACAAATTACAAATTTTGCAGAACTAGGTCTTTGAGGCTTCCAAATTCACATTTCTTTCTCTGCCCTATAGGGACACACAATTCAGGACTTCAGCTGATTTGACCAGTATGGTCATGGTTTGGCCATGAATATCTGTTTAAGGCACAAGAGATCCTTGGTTTAATTTTCCATGCCCAGACCTTTTGACTCAGTCTTAATAAGACTCAGTCTTAATAAAGAACTTTACCAGCATCTATACAGAAATCTATGAATCAACTCAATGGTTATTCATCTGAATTACTAGGATGAGCTAATTTTTATTTTACACATACATGTGTCTGATGACATGTAGACACACATTTTTCTAGCCACAGCTGTCACTGAAAATGCAACTGCTAATGTTGCATTAGCAACCCAGAGCTCTCAGGGACCCCATGAACTTGCTGTTGGGAAAGTGGTGACAGTAAAGATTGTCACCATTTTCTTTTCTTAAAAAAAAAAAAAAATCAACAGGAAAAAGGATGTGTTCTTAAGAAGTCTTTCCTGTCAGGACAGGCTGGAGATGTACAGAGGTAAGAAGCAGGAGCAGTGCTCTGCCATGGCCCCTTCTCCAAATGCAGTGGGCAGTGGAGAGCTGTGCTCCTCTGCCCGAGCATGCTGCCACAGCTAGGCAGCCACAGCATTTTTTGGTTTCTTTCATAGGGCCACATTCCAGTTTCAAGCACCTGGATATAGCAGACAAGACTGTGAACCCATATGATCTTAGCACAGGTGAGACCATTTCATGTCTCACAGCATCTACTTTGGGAAAAATGCTTTGCAGATGGTTCCTAACCTTGAGGTTTGGTTAGTCACTAGGAGGCTTTGCACAAATAATAGTAAGTAACTTTTATATTTTGATATAACCTTCTGCAAAGCAAGTTCACAGCAACATACTTACCCATACAGAATCCCTGTATGGGTATGCAAACGTCAGTATATTACACACAAAAACTTGCTTTATCAGTCCCACTCCCAGAGACAAACATGCTTAACTACAGAGCACTCTGGCCAATCCCATCTCAAAATCACTGTGGTTTAGGTGCAAACAGTTTCTCACACACTTGTGTACTTGTGGCAATATCGAGCAGGATACTGGAAATTTTTGCAATACATTTTTATTAACAATGCAGCATGACTCAAGTTTCCTCACTTTCCCGAGCCCAGCCACACACCAGGGTAAAGAGGTTAGCTTCTTTCCTGGGCTAAGGGAAGACAGTGGAACAACTACACACTTGCAGCCCAAACTGCTACTGATAAGGGACTGATGACTAACAGTGTGATCATTAACCCTTCACAGTTATTGCCAAGAAACTTGGACAGAAAAGCCCCAGAAAGCAAAAGAAGAGGTTCTGAAATCCTCACCTCGGGCCACAGACCCAAAGGCACACTAGCTGTAAGGTGTCCCAGCCAGCTGGCTGGGTCCTGCACGGCACCCTGGGCAGGGAATGCTCCCAAGAATGGAATGTCTTTGAGACAACAGACACTACCTGCATCCCTGCAGCCACCAGCAACTGCCTCCACAGGACCAGGAGACCAAGAAAACACAACTCACACAGACTCCCTGAAAAACCAGAGAAAGGAATACCTCTCCCTAGCCAGATGATTCCTGACGATGAATTATGTCTATCAATGCAAAATCAAAGGGTCAGACAAAGAGATGAAGAAGACAGAGGGCTACAGGGTAACTTAAAGATGGGCACAAATAAAGTCCAGGAGATGAAGCACCGTACAATCTGCACCTGCCCACTGAAGGGATTTTGCAAAGTGACCCAAGCAGTATGAGGCACAGAATGAAGAGCTCCTGACCTCTCCCACAGCTTTGACAGCTGTGTAAGAAGTGCTCCTGACTTAAAGAGCCTGTGTGGTGAAATAAAGAACTGTCTAGTTTCTGCCCTCTGCACTTACCTGAATTCCTTTTTTCCAAGTCTACAAGAGCAGCTTTCTAGCTTCAAAATCTTGTCCCCTCCTGGTTGTGATTCCTTACCCTCTCAAAACTCCATAAATACCCTGTGAGCACCACAAGCTTTTCTTTCTTCCCTCATGGTGTTATTCTGAATCTTATCTTTCAGCAGCTTACAGCTCTTCAGTTTCTAACCCTAAAGTTTCCTGGGAGGTACTCACAGATGTGCCCTATCGCTGCAGACCATCTTCCTGCACAGGCTGAACTCTCAGCCTCTCCTCTGACACCTGGGCTGTGGATGATGACCAGCCCAGAGGCAGCACAATGACCCCAAGCTTCCCCTGCAGCCCTTCTTCTGCACAGCCCATGTTCCAACCTGGCACAACCACACCCTGCTCCACTCAGCTTCATCTCCCTCTCAGGTTTTAAGTGTTAGATCTTCACAATACCTCACCAACTTCTCTTGCTCCATGTCTTTGTGTGACACAGTATTTCTTGTCTGCTAACACAAATAAAACTGTCATCCATCACCATCATCCTCTGGTTTTCATAGAATCACGGGTTTGGGTTGGAAGGGACCTTAAAGATCATCTCATTCTAACCACGTGGCCATGGGCAGGGACACCTTCCACTAAACCAGGTTGTTCAAAGCCCTATCCAGCCTGGCGTTGAACACTTCCAGGAATGGGGAAAACACTTCCAGGAATGAGGAAAACACTCATTTCCAAACGCTTATTTCTCTTGAAATGTAATATTTTACTCATTTATCCACCCTGTGTGCTGCCACAGGGATAATTTTTCTAAGCCATAGCTACAACTACATCACTTCTCACCATCCCTCCACTTTCCCACTGCACCAAAACCTCTTCACTTTCAAAGCCTGTTCTGGTCTCCCTCCACTTGCCTCTGCATTGCCTCCAATGATATAAAGGTTTCTTCTCTGTTCAAGCAAAGATAACAGGCTCCACTGCTTCCTTGTCATGTATTTGAGCAAGTGTGTGCTGGGAGGGCAGGTTTTTTTTTTTTTGTTTTATTATTTTTTATTTTTTTTTAGATATTAGCAGTGTGTTCTACTTCAAATCTCTTCTCCAAGATCTCCTTTGCCAAACAGCTGGGAACAACTGGCTTCTGACTATCAAGGTGATCCAGAGGGTCCCACTGCCTCCTATTGCTCCTGCATGCAGGCAGGTCCCTCCCTCCTGACTTGAAACTACGAATTCCCTTCAGCCAAGGGCTGCAGTTCTGCCTTCTGCTCACACAGAGGGGTCCTCAACCACAGCAAACACTTCTGTGCACAACAGAAATAATATAAGATAATCAAAGCTAACAGCAAAGGAAGTTGTCCTGGGTGGTTTTAGGCTGAGTGCAACACATCATCACCAAACCTCACGCTTAGCTCAAAAGCAATAATACAACACAGTCCTCAGAAAAAAAGAAGATGATGTGAAAAACCAGCCAGGCCCAGGCTCATGCACAACGGCATTCCAGACCACCCCAATTTTACCTTCATCACTAAACCTGCATGCTCTGCGTGCAATCAGCAGGGGAGTTTAAAAATACAACTGCTTCTGCTGCCAGCCTGGAGATGTGCCTGACCTGAATACACCCAGCTATTTTTAGCGCATCACTGCACTCCCTTCAGCCATCCCGTATTTATAAAACGGAAGTTATGAGGAAAGTTGTTCTTGGCTGGCACCGGGAAGGCACAGCCAAGCTAACAATAGGCAAAGCAATTCAAGAAGTGCCAACAATAGGAGCTCTTCACTTTTTCTTCTAAATATGAAGAGTGTTCAAAATGTTTGGTTAAAGCCTGCTGCCTCAAGATGCTCCCAGAGCGCTGTTAATCAAGGAAAATCAGAAGACCCCCTGCACAAGCACAGAGGGGAGATTCCCTCCCTCCAGCAGCATTCAGCTGACACCAGCGGGGATGCTTGTTACAGGTCCCTGCAGTCTGAAAAGATCAGACTGCAAAGACATTCTTCATTCATCCGAGCAGTCCCGGCTTTGTCTCCCTCCCAGCCCCCAAAATTTCGGCCCTGCGTCAGCCTCTGGGGCGGGCACCGGGCCTGCTTCCCCCCGGCATCCCTGGGGGCGGCGGCCGTGGCGCCTCCCGGGCCGGGCCGGGCTGAGCCCGGCTCCGCGGGGGAAGCCCCAGCAGGGCCGAGGGCTCCGCCGCACCTCGCGCAACTCCCGGGGCGCCAAGTTCGCCTTTGCGACCCGGGCTTGCTCTCTGGGCGGAGAGAGCAGCCCCGCGCACACTCCTCTGCCCCGCGGGGCCGCCACAGCCGCTTCAGGGAGCTGTCACCCACCGCTGCCGCCCGCGGGCCCGGCCCCGCTCCCCGACGCGCCCCGTCCCCCCCCCCTGCCCTGTCCCGGCCCCGGCGGGTCCCTCGCCCGCGGCCCGCCCTACCGCCGCCGCCCCCGGCCGCCGCCAGCCCCGCGGGCGGGAGCCGCTTTCGGTTTCATGGCAACCCCGGGCGGGGAGACCCCGGCGGCGGCACCGCCCCGCTCCGGGCAACGCCGGCGCTCCCGGGCTGGGGGACGGAGCGGCGGCGTCCACCCGCCTCCTTAGGGACGGCAGCGCCGGGACCCGCGGCTGGGAAGCCTCCCCGGCAGCCCATCCTCACCCGCCGCCGGCCCCGAGCTCCGCACAGCGCCCCGCAGCCTCCCGAACGCCCGGCGAGGCGCGGCAGAGCCGTGCCCCGCAAGGCAGGGAGTTTCCAGGAGCGAGTAACGAGGAGCGGCGGCGGGGCTCGCACACGGCGCTCGCTGCCCGCAGGGAGGGCAGGGAGTTCTCTTTCATTATTGACACCTGCGGGACTGAAAGAGCGAAACAAAGCCCGTGCTAAATAGGCAAAGGACACGGACATGCCACACGCCTGTTTTTATTTGCTATTATTGTATTACTGTTACGTGCCAGGACTACTGGCTAATGACCCGAGACACGCCGAAGGGTTCCTTACGAAGGCAGGCAACACCGCCCTCCGCCAGCCAACAGTACTGATGCGAGGGCTTTGCTGCCTGTTCCACATCACCTGCTGCTGCACTTTGTTCTGTCTTTCACATTAAACCACTTCTAGGAAAACCAGTCTCTAAGGAACATTCCATCCTAGCACCCGCACAAAAGCACTAAGGCTAACAAAAAAAGAAACAACTGGGTCGCATTATCTGGATTGTCTTCAAAGGAGCTCTAAAACCAATACTAATGAAATGGTTTCAGAAATATTCTTTCGCTAAAATGACTCAGAATTGTCACTCCCGAGGGAGTCAGTCCATAGCGCATTGAGTCTGGGAGCACAGCAAAGGCATTACTGTGACAGACACTTTTAAAAACATTCCTTGCAAAAATTAGGTTTGTTTAAAATTTTTATTAGCTTTTAGGAATATCCTGATTAGTCTGGGTACTACTTGCTGGAAGCTCACAGGAAGATCCGTAAGAACAACAGGCATTATGTTGCTGTAATTAAGTATTTATAAGTTAAATGAATAGCTTAGAGATGGGATCAGGTTCCCAAGCTAGTCACTGGCTGAACTATCCTCCCAGTGCAGAACATTATTCCCCAGAACAGTGCTTTGTGGGGTTGAAGATCCATCCATAAAATCATCGGCTATCAGGGTGCAGGCATTAGTTTAAAAACCCCTCTTCACTTAAGGCTCAGTGAGCATAACAGCATGCCTGGTCTGCACTAAGACAAAGTTGCACCCTTGAAACTGCAGTAGAGATCACAATCCCTGAATCTCAGTGCTTCCTTTTGAGCCAATCCAAGAGCAAACTGCCAAGTCAGTAACAGCAATGAGGATTTATTGTGCTGCTAGAACTCTCTCAGTGTACTGCACTGAAAAAGAGCTTTAAGATTAAAGAATTAGACAGAACTAAAAAGTAGCAGCCTTCACTAGTGGTGAAAATGAAGTAATTATTTTCCACAGTTGTACTTTAGAATTAATTTTGAGGATGTCTTTTCTACAAAAGGGGGCACCTGCTAATTAAATAGTCCAGATACTGTTGCCTGTATATTCTGCTTCTCCTCCCTCCCTGACTGTACATTTTTGACACCTAATTCATCAGCAATGGACTATGAGTAGTGTTAAAGAGTTCATATTTGCCTTTATATCTCATATACAACTGCTTAGGATCTTAAAGCAGATGTCTATCCCATCGGTGCCTGGTTTTTAACTCACTCTGAGAAAGGCAAACTGGAGGTTTGGCTACCTCAGCCTCAGGAAAAGCTGGAGGTTCACCACCTTTAGCAGGATGACTGGGCTGTATGCAGTGCTGTTTACAGTGCAATATTGCTGACTTCTCTACAACTTCCCTTGCAATATGAAACACATCTCCAAGCACACTGTTTCATGATGTTTAGCTTTGCTTTTCTGCCTGACAACCACATTTCTGCCTGGCCTCAGCTCTAAGTTCAGTCTATGCCTTTCTTTTGCTCAAAAGAGGCACAACACATTCCTAGTAACCTTCATCCCAAACTATTCCCTAAACTCTGCAATTCATCTGTGTCCATACACAAACTCCCATATCTGTAAGCAACTGGCTTGCAGATTTGTTTTTGATGCATTGTGAGGTTTCCAGAGTAAAGAAAAATCCCAACACTCTAAGGATGAAAAAAACCCTAAGGAAAAAAGTACCTACTTCCTTCTGCTCAGGAGCAACAAATTAAACTGCTTTACTATGATGTGCAGTGTTTAGTGATTGTTTTATTAAATGCAGAAATACCTGCTCAACTTCGTACCCATTCTGATTTAAAGTGCAACAATTAAATCTGATAGTTCTTGTACATCCATATTTTGCAAGTGCTGTTTCTTGAATACATGTTTTTCCGATTATGCCTTGCATTTGTAAGATGTAATTTTTTAGTACCATTTTGCTTTATTAACTAAAATAAACTGTACAAAAAGCTGTAGAGTTACATTAGCTTTGAACAATGTAGGATACACGTTCTCTTCCAAACGTTAGTGTGCAAACATTGTACATTTTTTAAAGTGACAAAATTAAGCCAACCTTGAAGTCAGAGTTCATTACTACATTACAAAACAGGAGACTAGATATGGCAAAAGAAATTTCCCACTGAAATCAACACCATTGTATAATTTTATTTCTAATTTTTAAAAAAATATAAATGAATTTAGAAGAGAATCACAGTATAAGGGCCCTAACATATTAGACCATTACAAGGTACATAAAAATAGAAGACACAGATTTCTTTGAAACTTTAATCCTTTGATTAAGCAGCAAGCATATCACTCTCCAGGCAAACACTGCTTAAAACAAACCCTACCCCCCAAAACAGGACGTGCAAACTGTATGCACATATTCTGCAAAGCACACAATAAAGACATTTTGCTATGTACATACTTATTTAGTACTACAAATGCTAGGAGTTCCCTACTGTGTGCTACAGTGTAGGTAAATTAAGAAATACTACCCTACCTATCTCTGACCCTCCCTCCCCCCTTCAAATACAGCACCTTTGCCCAGTTATAGAATATTCAAACAAGATTAAACGGAATTACAATGTACTGAACAGTTTCGTACCAGTTGGTGGTGGCCAACTGTACTGTAACACCCAACATTCTGCACACTGAATTCTATTGACAAAAGACAAGACAAAAATTAGCAGATGTACAATACACACACCTGGGAGACTCAATGCTTAAAGTAAAAAAAAAAAAAAAAAAAAAAAAAAAAGAAAAGAAAGAAAAAATTCTGAAGATGAATCTTACCACCGTTAACAACTAAATTGTAAAAATGTACCATCTTGGTTTTTTATTCGTTTTAAAGACCAGAGAGCAGCCAGATTTGTGTGCAGCTGATGAGGGCATGCTAAAGACTCATGACTCCCAGAACACAAGTTTCCATGACCACTAATTCCTTGGTGCTTGTTTTAAAGTTCTGCTTTACTTAGACATGGGATCATATGATACTTACATAGTGGCTAAGCACCTACTCTGATGCAAAATACAATTTGTAAGAAAGACCTTTTGTACAACACCTCAGCACACCAGTGAAAGCTCTTCAGAAAGAAAAATCTCTCAAGTTTGATCTGAGAGTATTTTAAAATGAAGAACTAAAACATAAAGGTCAACACTTCAACTGCAATTCAGGTTACAACTATCAAACTTCAATACTAGAAATTAATTTTCAAATGAAATAGAATCTGATAGCACAAGAACTTCCCTTTGCACATAAAAGAAAGACCTTATTTAGCTGCTAAACTGATCATTAGACCATCTAATTTATCTGTGAAAAAAAACCTAGGGAGAGCACATTCCATTTGCATAAAGTCTCATTTTAGTCAAGGGCAAATCTAGTTAAAAACAAAATGGAGTTAAAAAGTCTTTTAGACACCATTTCAGCTATAAGCAAAAGACCTTTTGAAATAGTACGACAGTCAACATAAATATTATTACATAATCAAGAATGCATTATTTTTCAATAGCTTAATTAAAATCACACAGTTTCAAACAGTGCTACTCATATTTGGAGCCTGGTTTACTTGGAGGTTAGAGGTATCTGCTTTTACAAAAAAAACAAACCCAAAAAACCCACACCCTTAAAGACTACTAGGCATCAATCATGGTTTCAGATGGGAATGCAGTGAAATGATTTCTTTCAAACTCCTGTAATTTGGAAGCAATATTAATATCTATATGCAGGTTTTACTGAGTCAATAAAATAAACAAACACCCATGTACTTCCCCCAATACCCTCACCTCATGTAATCCAGAAATATAGCAGGAGCCAAGAGATAACACTTAAAAGACAGGGTTGGGTAGCAGGTAACTACTCTCATGATACACTACCAGCACCACCAGCCTCTACACTTCCCTCATTAGTGCTCAAGCAAGATATCAGTGATCTAACACACACAAACTGCAGGCAGTCATTCTCAGAGGAATGGAATTCTACTGTACTTATACTAGAAAAATTAGTGGAATAACAAATTAAATTAATACCTCTTGCTAGATGGTTCCTGTTCTGTCATCCCTCTGGGTGACAGAAGCTGCTGCCACTCTGTCCTGCCCAGCCCACAAGATGAGACTGCAGCAAGAAACTGGACTCCAGTTAAACCTGCTTCCAGTTAAATTCTATGAGTAGAACATGCATGAGATTTAATAAATTTGGTACAATAGCTCACTGAGTCTTCAGAATACTCTGAAAGAGGAGTATTTAATAAGCCAGTACCTTTTAAAAGAAGCTAAGATGTTCTGAGGAAAACATGGAGAGAAGACCTACATTTCACAAGTACGTGAAATGCTTCTACTGTTATCTAAACAGGGCCAAACATTCTGAACCTAAAGCCATAATTTTCTTTCACTAAAAGGTTAAAAATAAAAAAAATTTAAAAATTCACACACACGAAAAACCCCAAC